CACACACACACACGCACAAACACACACACACACACACACACACACACACACACACACACGTACGCAAGAGCTAGGTGTGCATGATTACAAAAAAGAATGATATCGAGTTCCTCGTCAAAGTAGAACGAGTTTTGTTGTTGGTGTAGTTGGATTTGTTTTGTTTGTGGTTTGTTTGCTTGTTTGTTTTTGTAACACGAAAGACCCACAATTGAATCCAATACCTTACACGCGTTCGTTGTCAGAGAATTTGTTTGATGTAATCAGAGTTCGCAGAGAGGATGGGAAAAGAAGTGTCACTCCAACCGATAGAGACTAAGCTCGCTTTACTTGAACTTGAATAGAAGGAGAGAAAGAGCCCACTCCATGAGTTTTGCTCGATCAATCATTATTTTCTTTCACCTTAGCGGTCTAGTAAAAATTAACTCTCTTCGGGGAGGTCGTTGACAGACTATTTAGCATTTGTAACTTCCATATTTAATTGTCTGTGCTGTGTGTCACGAAGAATCGGTCATTGCCTACGGTAGACCTATTGTTAGTTGTTGTTTTTTTTTCAATTTTGAAAGCTGAGGACATTTTGGAAAGATAATCAATACACTGTGATAGAGAGAAAAAACCCAAAACAAACAACAACAAAAAAGAACAAAACAAAACAAACAAACACCCCCAGCCCCTCCAAAAAAAAAGTTGAAAGGGAAATTCTCAGGCAGATTGTATCACTTCCGAATTCATTGAACCATCGTTCTTTTGCTTTCTGCAGATGTGTTTTTCTTTTTCCCGCTCTCTTCTCCTGGGCCAATGAGTTGGCCTTTCATATTGTGCATGAACCAGAGGTAGCGTCAGGTGGACTGACGTTCTCTGAAAACAATACGTGGTATTCTCATAAGTAGCCTTTTGTTTTAGTGGTGCAGGAGGCATTTATTTAACTTTAAGAAAACATGAAAAAATACTCTCATATATCGATCAATTTTGTCAACTACATGGAACCTGCCCTAACGATCATCTGTCCGAGCCAAAACCCGCACAAACGACCACCTCTCACTTGCCCCTTGTATTTCTAAAAACGTCATATAATTAAACTGTTCTAGAGGACCATTCTTTATTTCTGACGACAATGGGTGGTCGTCTTAGACAAAGTTAAACTGTAAATTACAAAGTTAGCTGTCAACTTTTGAGCAATCAAAATCAAATCTAACAGTGTCAGTACATGTACATGCCTCTTACGTTGTACATTGTCTTTTCCGTTTTCCGTACTCACGTGTGTTGTCGTATAATGTGTTTCCACGATATACGCTGATGGTCATGAGATAAATATCTACTTATTATTAATTATGTTGATAAGAAGCGCCTAATATTAGATACAGATTTAGTCGGTGGTTGGTGGATGCGCCATGCTGTGTTGTGGTTTGCCCCTTCTTTCCTATCAAATATCTGTAACACCTCTAATATTTGGCACTTACGTGATCTAAGGTGTTATAAGGTTACAAATGTTGTAAAACGCTTACTAAAGATAAAAAATATATATATACAAATTTAGTAAGAACAATTAGTTGGGTGTAACCTGAGCTTCGACAAGAAGTTCGTCCATCTGTGCTGCCACCTGTTGAGCGACAGCGCAAACGTAACAAACCACGTGACTTGTCTCGACGATCATTTTTTTGGTGTTTGACTGCGCATGTCCAAACGGTTGATTTCAGAAGAAAATCAAGATGGCGCGAAGTGAGGTCTGAACGCAAAAATTGAACAAATCTTTCCTCTACAAGGCTATTCCTTCGTATTTTCAAGCTCGAATTTATCTAGCATTCCAGGTAAATGCTTGTATTTAATGCATGTGTTCATTGAATTGCATGTCCTTATACCTGGACAGTGTATTAGGTAAGGTAATTTGTTGACCTTCCTTGTTGGGCAGACTGGTGCGATGGTGGTGGTGGTTGCCTCTCTCTTCTGAGGCGAAGTTGGCCTGCTCCGTGCACTTCTAAGGTTAAAAAAGATTGCATTCCCAACTTGTAATGGGCTTTCAATTTTAATTTAATGTAATTCTGTTTATCGACTGCGATTTCAATTTGCTTTCATTAGCAAGCAAGCGTTTTTGTCTTCTAGATCTAGATTACCAGTCCAGTCAGCAGCACACCATGGACCATACCCAAGAAATGGGCTGCTCACTCCATGCCATGTCTCCACTTTCTTCTTCTACCCACTCACTCCGGAGTCTTTTTCAGTTACAGACATTGCAACAATGCAATTGCCAGTCTAAATTTCTTTTTTTTTGTTTTTTGTTTATTAGGTGCACTCATCTTCAATCAATTGGACAAGTAAGCTAGATTTTTAGATCCTGATTCCAGAATCTGGGCCATTTTTTAGGTCTCAGTCTCAGGTTGCAGACTTGACCCAGTCTAGTGTATCAGTAGTTAGGACAAGCGGACAGCTAAGCTAAACAAATATTTATAGATCTAGTAACAGCTACCTTGTTTGACGTCATTGAGGAATTCACACTTTGTCAGTCATGGTGGCTGCACGACGGCAGCCTGCCATCTCTGATTATTTTCTTTGCCACATGCAGAACTGTTCGGTTCGGTTGTCTGTGATTGTACAGCACCCTTCTTTCGCCCAGATTGATTCTGATGCTGTACACTATGTAAACTGAGAAGAAGACGAGTAGGCCTAGAATCTAAATATCTAGATCTACGTCAATTTGGATATGAAAACTTCAAAGTTCAAGAACGCAGTCAGTGCTTCCACTCTTCCGTATTTTTACGGAAATCCGTACTTTCTGTCAGTTCCGTACTTGTTCCTCCTTCATCGTCAACTCCCTCCGTAAAAAAAAAAAAACTGCGACAGCGCAGTACTGCCGAAATTCCGTACTCGCCTTCCTATCGTCTTGTAGTTACGGATATTTACGGTAAGGCATTGGGGCCACCTCTATTCTCACCCGGGATGAGAATAGTGCAGGCGAGTCTTTTGGCTATTCTCACCCGGTGCGCGTTCACCGTTATAGCCTAAATTTTGCGTTCGCCCTAAACCACAGAATTCTACACTGCGATAACAGAAACATTGTAGAATTCTGTGCCGTGAACAAACGTTCCATTACAACTGTAGCCTAGCCTACTGAAAGCGTACAATTTTGTGGAGAGAGAGAAAGACAGAGAGAGAGTAGCGCGAGAACTTACGGTCAAAACAAAATGGCGACCCGCGTAGTTCGGCTCGATTCGAAAAGTTAAATAGCTGTAGCATCTTTGTAGACAACCAAATTAATTTACTTTTGTGTTTTAACATCATTTTTGAACTTTGTTTTGGTCAATTTGATCGTCCACACCGATAGACAGTATTCAGAAAGAGACAGAGAGATAGGGGAGGAGTAGATCTTGCGAGAACTTCCGGGCAAAACAAAAGGCCGGCACTATTTCTCCGAACTTTCGGGAAAATAAAGCTGGGCACTATTTCTCCGAACACTCTGAAATCACACCCTTTCCCGCATATTTCGGATAATAAAAATAAAATATAGATCTATAATTATATTATAGTAGGCACTTGGATAAAAATTTCAAAGCTTTCAAATTGCTTTAAAAACAATACCAATGCAAAGAGCTCAGTGACACGATTCCAACGCTACCTTAGTTATTGCTCTATGTTGAACCGTTTTTGAGATATTGCATTTTAAAGATCTTTTCAAGGGGATAACATCTATATAGAAAAAAAAGGCAATTTTTGTGATCGAAACAGCAAGGACAATAAGGGAAATGTAAGCTGCTTCAATATGCTGCTGCGTACATGCTAAAACCAAACATTTTCTGAAACCTTGTGATATTGAGGACAAAATAACAGTCAGACGAGATTTTTAAAATATGTCGTGGTGGGTAATATTGGGTAATATTATGTAACACTGTGTTGTGTAACGTGACCGCATCGTCCTGCGGTCAATATATTTTGCCATAACTTTCTTATAAATTAAGCTACATCAATAATTGAGGTATCATTTTGAAGGTCTTTTTAAGGCCTTTCTTTTGGAACATCTACATATCAAATATCAGTAAAATTAACAAAAAACTGATTAAAAAATATAATATATTTTAACAAAACAGCTGGTCGCCTTAAATAAGATGAGCATAGAAGTTTTTAAAGTTAACATTTGTGTCTACAGCTGCTGCAAACTAGATCTAGTGTTTTTTAGTCTACCTTAATTCATGATAATACTGTTTTTTAAATTCATTTTGCATGTTATTGTTAGAATGTTTCTTTCATGTTTTAATTTGTCATGTAAATGAGTAAATGATCAATTACTCTGTCTTTATCTTTGATTTCTCTTTTACATCTTTAACTCATGAGATTGCCCTGTAAGTTAAACAATAGTCTCTTCTAATTTTATTACTTCAGTTTGTTCAGCAAGTTTTTCATTATATTTTTATTGTATTTATTTAAATGTTCAACTTCTTCAAAGACAATTAGTTGTGAAATATGACATGTTTTTTGAAGCACGCAATTGTGTCACGATACTTATTTATTCTTTCTTTATTTCTGGCAATTGTTTAGTTCACCCAGTCTGCCAACTTGATATTGTTAAATTAATGTCAATTTTTTTTTCTTGTCTGCAACAAATGCTTTCTTAAGTGCTCAATTTTTTTGCAACTTGTTCAAACAAGTTTTTCTGTGAATTCGACCAACTCCGCAAGCATTTCTGGATTTTAATTAAAGTCAGGATTTATTCTGGTGAGCTGTCAATAAATCCAATGGAACAGTGGCAGGTTGTGATCAGGGGCTGTGGAAAGAAAAAAAAAGCAAAGCAATGAATTCATCAATGAAGTAAATAAATTCATTTGTGAGCAGTGGATGGAAATTTGACATTTTCACACTACAACTCTAGTAATGGGAGAGTGTAGATGACTAGACAAGAGAAAAAACATCTTCTAATAAACATGTATCTTAAAACAAACTGGACAAAGTACATGAAAATTTAAAGAGATATTTAAATAACAAGCACACACAAAAACAATTAAGAAGAAAAAATATTTAAAGACAATATAAGCACACAAAATAAGTAAAAACTTGCGTGAAATGGATGGTCTAACAGTGACAGTAACACAGAAACAAAACAAGGCCAAGGCTGTTACATTTCCCTCCCCCCACCCAAGACTCCTTACTGATTGTTACATGGTGCAAATTCATAAAAATTATACAACAGTGATACATATTACATTCCAAAATTTAAAATGAATCATATCTTCTACTATAAAACATTCTTCAATGCCGTTTAAGAGGTAATAAACGCCAACAATACACGTTAGCGTGGGTTAAGTTCGCTTTCCGCAATGGCCGCCATGACCTCCCGGTTCACGCTCAGCAGCGCGATCGATAATAGGTCATGCCCATTCATGGAGAGTGACCTATTTAAATTAGGGCTCACACGCTTATGCCTCAACGTACAACATTGAAATTAACAAATAAAAGAGATAAAAGGTTGAAGAAAAGACTGTGAGGAGTACCTAAAAAAAAAAAGATATACTCTTTAAATATAAAGGCTTGAACTTACCTTATTTTTAACTCCTTGTAACTCCGAACACACACAACCGATCCCGAAGTGGAAAACGCCATAATACGCGCCTTTCTTTCCTCTTTAATTTGATAGGCGGAAGTAATCCATAAATTGAAAAGAACACTATAAACGAAACAAAACAAATAGGTACCCCCCTCACGGGGCCCGATTTCTGACACAAAACGCGGCGGCCGCAGGTGAACGAAAATCTCGGGCCGCGCGGGCCGATATCCAAGTGCCTAATTATAGGCCTACCAAAGATTGTTCGTATACAATATGGTTCAATCGGTCCAAAAAATGTCCGTATTTATATAAAGAAATGCTACAGTTCCAAACAGTTTTTCGCTACAGATATGACGTGTGGCCTATGAAGGGTGCTGCTCTTAAACTTAATGTGTTGCGTTCACTCGTGAGCTGTCTAGATCTAGATCTATGGAGGGTTATTGATAACGACACATAGAGCTAGCATCTGCGTTTGTCGAGGCCGCGACCAATCAATCGTGGCTCGATTTTTTGGTCCCCGAAAAAGTCCAAAAAAAAAAAGAAAAGAAAATGAAACTCTTTACTTTTGAAAGGAAGTTCACTTAGCTTCACTTCGTCTCTTTCTCACTTGTTGTCACCACGTTGATTTGTTGAATACGTTACAGTTACATACGATTTGTATTGCTGTTCCTCTTTTATTTTTCGTTCATTTTTCCCTCTTTGTGGTGTTATATTTTGTTGGTGTGTATTTTTTTTTCTTGTTATTGTTCTGATGTGTTGTTTTTCTATTAATTTTTTTTGTTGTTGGGGAAAAGGGGGGGGGGGGGGGTTGTATAGTGTAACGTCATTTAATTTGATGTTCATACAAAAGGTATTGTGTAACGTCATTTAATTTGATGTTCCTACCTTCATTAGATTCTAAATATATATACCTGTATAGATTTAAATGTGCTATGTTTAGAGCGTTCCACCAAAACCAAGTACAGGTACTGACACTGGCAGGCCCCCTGTGTGTGGTTCCATAATTTCCATGCAATATCCTGTACTTTTTTAAACAAATTACGCACATTTAGGGTTAAAACGGTCAATCTTCTTCGGACAGGTGGACACACGCCCTTATTTGTTAATTGTTGTGGTTGTTTCTGGGCTGTTCTAGTTTTGATTTCATTCTGTTGTGAAACCTTTCTTTTTCACGTTTTTACACTCATCTAAAAATCTCTAGACTAGATCTAGATCTAGCTCTTGAAAATTGAAATAGATCTAAACCCAAAAATTTGCTCCGTTTTTTTTTTTTAATGGACGATAACCGTCCACTCAAAAGAAAAGAGGGTCAGATTTCTCCGTCTCTCGGGTGCCTCAGGCAGTACCCGCCTCGCTAAACCAGTGGGCACACGGCCGGAGGAGAAGCTGAGAACAGATACCACCTTTGATTTGCTCCTTCCCAGACCTCGCAGAATGACGGAATGAAAGTTGGCGCCGAACTCTCGCAAATAGGCAAACAATCACGACCAGAGCGGAAGCCGGAAACCGTTCGGAGAAATAAAGATCGGCACTATTTCTCCGAACGTTCGGAGAAATAGTCACTTCGAAAACAAAATGGCGACCTGCGTAGTTCGGCTCGATTCGAACAGTGAAATAGCCATATAGCATCTTTGAAGACGATCAAATTAGCTTACTTTTGTGCTATGACGTAATTTTTTCTTGGCTTTTATCAATTGGATCATCCACACCGATAGACAGTATTCCAAAATGAGGAAAAGCAGGTCTTGTTTCGCACCGGGTGAGAATAGCCTACGCTGGCAATTCTCACCCAGGGTGAGAGGTAGATCGTTTTTCTATTCTCACCCCGGATGAGAATAGCCACTTCCTTACGGTAACGAAGTGTATACAGACCCGGTAACTGGGAACAAAGTCACGAAGTATACAGACCCGGTAGGGGAACTCTTTTGTGATTTCGGAAAGTTTCAGCGCCCAGCCCCGGTAGAAATCGTGTGTGTGTGTGAGAGAGAGAGAGGGAGGGGGGGGGGGGGGGTGCTAGCAAAATGTATGACATGCCCCAGTTGGCAGGAGGGAACGAGAGAAAGATAAAGTGGGAAATAGGGAAAGACAGAGACAAAGAAAGAAAGAGAGAAGACGAGCGATACACAGAGGAGAGAGAGAGAGAGAGGGGCAGAGAAATACAGAGGGTGGCTGCTCGATTAAAATTATGACGTTGTTCTTTTCTTCAAATTGTGATTCCTCCAACTCCAAAACGGAGGATAAACGATCGTTCATCGAAAAGACATCCGCAATCTTCATTTGGATATCTAGATCTAGATCGATTTAGGGTAGCCTCGAAACGACCAAAGATTTATGTCCGTCTGCCTAGATCTAGATCTAGACCTAGGCCATAAATTAGAATAACCTAGGTTTGCCCTGAGCCAAGAGGGCGCTGAAACTTTCCGAAATCACAAAAGAGTTACCCTACCGGGTCTGTATACTTTGTGACTTTGTTCCCGGTTACCGGGTCTGTATACACTCCCTTATGGTAATTCTCTTGTCAACAAGTTAAAGTTATTGAAACCTGCCAGATTGCGCTTTTCCTGCAATCGGCCATTATTGCGCTTTTCCTGCAATCGGCCATTATTGCGCTTTGTCCCTTGGATTGATTGCGGGTTGGTCGGCAGTACATTTTTTACCTGCAGATGGATCAAAATCTGGCGAACCTTTAATGCCAATTTCCTCCTTTCTATCATTCACTCATTCCTTCTGTCTATCTTCGGATTGTTGCCGCGGCTGGAAATCTGCGCGTTGATCAAGTAAATTGACTTGTGATCTTAGACTTAGACAAAAAAATTACTGTCAGAAAGAAACTTTTTTTTGCAAATTTGTCTAGATCTAAATCTAGAGAAATTATCAATGCGAAGATTCTACGGCACGTGAACGCAATAAGGGCCGCGATGAAAGAAATAATAATATGCTGATACACGGGTGCCCACTACACGAGACTACGGATGGGATCGGTATAATGACTCGGTCGCCTCAAAAGTGTTTGTTTTCAGTTTCGGGCGATCGGCCCGATCCGGCCGTAGGTAAAATAAAAAATAATTCGAAGTGGTGTTCTGAGGTTGTGACAGGCGACATTCAGATGGGAAAATTGAGAAAAAATTTGGGTGTACCCTGCGCAACTGTATTGTGAAGGTACATCTATTCATTATACCCAGGTTTGCCTGCTATCAATGGTGCGACTACAAATTAATTGAATTATAGTAGCAATTAAAGGGGAACCTGCTCTTAAACATTGCCAGCAATGGAAAGATATGTTGGTGAAGAAATCAAACAAGATAAAATGTTGGTGAAAAAATAAATGTTATGGGCTCTAGGCAATCTCTTCAAACAGGCTCCCAAATGCCATTTTCAACCCTCTAAAAGCACTAAGATTCAATTTCTTCGGGGGCTTCCTGAACCCCCACCCGGGACGCTGTCCCTGGACCCTGCTGGGGCCCCCAGACCCCCGGCAGAATATTCCTTACTTTTCAGCTTCAGCTGGTGGAAGCACTGGCAGTGCAAATGATCGACCGTTTCGATCAAGATCGTTTCTTTTAGTTTTGTAAAATAAGCTACAGCAAGGAGCCTACCAAGCATACCTCTTGTGGTTGGCCCAAATATAGATGTCGTATTTCCTCCATCAATTTTTGTGGTCGGGGGGGTTCCTTCGCCAGTAACTGTTGACCAGATCTAGATCTAGATCATCACTATTTTTCGGATCACGATCACATGGCTGCCTAAATCTACAGATTTTTCCGGTAGATACCGATTTTGGGCCTGTTCTACCGACATACCGATAAGGTGTCAAAACTACCGGATTTTCGATGGGTGCCAAGAGAGTTTTTAAAAAACCAAACCATTCTGCTGTGCTTCCATTCTTTGTTTTTGCGGAAATCCGTACATTCCGAAAGTTCCGTACTTGCTGCATCATCGTATCAACGCCATGCGTTGAGATGAGAGAGAGAGAGAGAGATCAGCACTTGCCTCCGTAACTTGTCAGATATTTACGGCAACTCTCGGCAATAAGTTGTATTAGAAACTGCCAATTGCGCATTTCGTACACTGGGCCATTGTCTATCTGTGCCATTCGGTCGGCAATAGTTTTTCACGTGCATATCGGCTTAAATCTGTCTACTCACGATAGATTATCTTCCTCCTTCTTTTCATTCATTCTTTCTTTCTGTCTATCTTTAGCAATGCCAATCGCCCGCTGCGCCTTGTGCCGGAAATCGGCCTCCGCGCGAGGGGTATTTTTTGGGCCGCTCGGAATCAGAAGTGACTCTTCTAAGTTTAGTTACGGGAAAACTCCTGGACGAAAATAAATGAAACTCGGCAACCAACCAGAGGAAAGGTTAAACTAACGACATGCCAGTGTACAAGACCGAACGATTACTAGAACCGGAGATATTACGTGTTTGTGCGAATTCCTCTGCGGTTCGAAAACTAAGCGGAGCTGCGGGTTGATCGCCGACCACACAAGCGCCCCACATGTCTTCTTTATTGCTGTAAAATTTCAGATCTCTGCGTTTAGTAGATTTTCCGTACCAACTTAAAATGACCACCCATCCATTGATAAAACCCTAGATCTAGAAACTTGATAGCGCATTCCAAACGTGAGGTGCCGGCACGCAAGAGGCGCGTGATCGCTAGCCGGCATGTGATTGGCTGCCTATAACCAAATGGGTCACCTATGACTACATCGCGGGTTTTCCCGATAGCGCTTTACTGAGTTTTAGAAGGGGTGATCGCGTCGCGGTAAAAACGATGTCACGCAATTCAACAAATTTCACGCAAATATCGGTCTTTAAGATCCAAAGTAATGAAGACATCGAAAAAGTGATAGAACTAGATTCGGCACTAAAAATCACATGGAGATGCCAAGTTTCATTCATATGCTCCAATTCATTACTGACTTATGAACAGTTTTTCCTCAAAATACATCAAAACGTCCCACATTTTGGCGATTTTTTCCTGTATATGAAGGTCCTCCAACATTTTGCAAACAAAAATCCCAATAACTTTTTTATTTTCAATGGATTTTTAATTTTTTAAAAACATAGTTCTTAGAATTTACTCTATTTTCATTTAAGTCCATTTTTAAGCAATTTGGATGAAAATTTAATTTTTCATTGTCATTGCTACTATCTTCAGTTTTTTTCTGCGGCTGGAAAATCTGTGCATTTAATTCATTTATCCAGAAAAAAGAATTGTGAATCTAGAAGGAAAATCGGTATCGAAGCAAAACATTCTAAAATCTATCATGGTTTAGAGAATTTGTCAGTACCAAATAAGGATTCTACACAGGGGGACTGCGGGAGTTTATTACCCGGGACCCGAGAAAATGCACAAAGTCCTCGAAACCAAATCTGAAAAGTCTTCCGAGTTCATATTTTACTGGTTGCGTTTGTGATAGTACGTTCGGCTTTCCCCAGTCCGAGAGTACGTTTCACGTGAATGAGTGGCTATGGCGGCAATCGGAACTATAGGTGTAATACCGAGACTCCATCGAAAAAATCAAAATCTACTTTCGCTTTCGTTACCGCTCAGAATTTCCGATGATAGTTCGTTGACGTTAGATTTACAGTTAATAAAAATTTGTAACCTGCAGTTTGTGTGTAAAAACACAGTGTAGCCATAAAAGTTAAATCTATATTCTCACTGATGTCACTATAATAACAAAAAAAGGGGAGAAAAAGAAAACACGCGTCCTCCAATTTCTAGATTGTCGGGCCCGTCATCGTGACCGGTCAATGAACCTGTGAGAGTTCGTGAGTACGGCATGAGCAAGGGACCGGTCGGTGGTTGTTGGGGAAAGCCTAATCAAAGTTCATTCAAAGTAGGAGTGTTGCAGGGCGTCGGAAATGAGGGGAGGTGTTTGACGCAAAAAAAAGTCTACAGCAACAGGAAAAGGCCGCGGTGCAAGAAACTGATGCTAAAATAAAAACGGAACTTCCCCACGCACATATATAGGCACATGCGAGAGCATGGCAACACATACAAACACGCCATTTTGTTTTGCCCGAAAGTTCTCCCAAGATTTACTCCTCCCCTCTTCTCTCTCTCTGTCTCTTTCTGAATACTGTCTATCGGTGTGGACGATCAAATTGACGAAAAAGTTTTTAATTAAAATGATGTTAAAAACAAAACAAAATTAATTTGGTCATCTACAAAGATGCTACGGCTATTTAACTTTCCGAATCGAGCCGAACTACGCGGGTCGCCATTTTGTTTTGCCCGGAAGTTCTCTCTCTCTCTCTCTTTCTCTCTCTCCACTGGCCACAGACAAAATTGCATGCTTTTAGGCTAACACTAACAGTAGTAATAGATCTAGAACGTTTGTTCACAGCACAGAATTCTACAATTCTGTTATCACAGTGTAGAATTCTGTGGTTCAGGGTGAACGCTTCACTGGTTGGCCTAGGCTATAACAGTGAATGCCCACCGGGTGAGAATAGCCAAAAGACTCGCCTGCGTTATTCTCACCCGGGGTGAGAATAGAGGTGGCCAAATTTCAAACCTAACTGCAGGAGGTTGGTCAATGCTCTGGTGTGGTTTGCTCCTTCAATCCCATCAAACATCTATCTTCTTTATTTCCCCTCCTTTTGTGTGTTTGTTACTCTCTTGTATCACCTCTAATCTTCGACACTTATTTGACCTTATTGTGTTGCAAGTTCCGAACTCTTACTAAAAAACAAGCAAACCTTACTGTAAAATATCAATTAAACTTTATATGCACAGGTTCTTAGAAATGTGCTTAAGGTTACTTCAATCCGGGTGTACGAACTGTCACTTTTGCTCTCGGCCTGTTGTCTGGCTCTAGATGTAGGTTCTACATCTGATTTATCTGAATTGCCCCTAGCTCCTGCCATGTTTTCATAAATATCTGATTCGTCATTTGCTTGTTCTTGCTCACACCCATGGTTATTTGGTTGTTCTAGCTCAATTGTTATTTTTCAACTCATCGAAAACGTAAACGTACTTTTGATCGTCTCTAATACTAGAACTTTAAGAACTACTGGCCTGGAAACATTTGTTTCAGTCTCAAGTGGAAGAAATATTTTGCAATAATTCAAGACATGTTTTTACCTTTGTTTAGGCTTTTTTAAAAATAAATTTTAATCAGTATAGTATTTTGAGATGCAAATCAAGAGTGGGTGATCTGTAAGTTCTAAAATGTACTAGACTCAATATTGAATGCCTGATTCTGCTTCTCAGTGTGAACAGTCTGCATTTATAAAGGAACCTGTGTAATTAGCATAGTGATGGATTTTATTTTGAAAAAAAGGACAGATTGAGGTAAAGAGGTCTAGTCAGATCTTAGCTTTTCTAGTGTAACATTGTGGCTCTCATTTTTCTCCTCAGAAACTGTTACCATGGACGCCGAAGACAACGAGAGTGTCTCACCCTCAACAGAACTGACATTAACAGGGGAGGATGGAAGTTCCAATGGTGTTCTTGATGGAGCTTTGGAAGATGACCATGCAGTTGATGTCTGTCATATTTGTGACGACAAAATGAAGTCGCCAAAAATCTTGTCTTGCTTGCATGAATTTTGCGAAGACTGCCTGAAGAAGAAACTTGAGGAAGAGAAAACAGAAGAAAATTCATCCCCTACAAGTCCACTTGCTAAAGAATGGATGACTGATTCCATAAAGTGTCCTTCCTGTGAGCAAAAGACAAGATTAGGAGAGAAAGGAATTTCAGGTCTTCTTTCAGACACGGTGTTGGAAGATATGATTGAGTCAGATTCCAGTGAAAAGAAACAGGTATGTTGTGCTGTAAAAAGTGTTCTATACATTTAAAGAAATGAATATGTGGTATAAATTAGTAGAATTTTAATGATAGTAATTGTATATCTTTGCTTTTCTTTTTCAAACATGAATGTAAATATGGCACAAAAAAATTATTGCAGGCGAGAAGCAGGTACTCTGTTCCTAGATTTTTTGTAACTTTTCTCTCACTGCCAGAGAGATTTTAACTTATAAATACTGTTACAGTTCATTCATTTTATAATTTTAGAGCAAGTCACTATCTATGCATACTCGTAATAAAAATGATTTTTCCCCCCCTCAGATTGGCTGCACCAGCTGCAAAGCTGGAGACAATGCTGTTGCCAGATGCAGAACTTGTGAAAATTTGCTTTGCCCTAATTGTGTTACTGCGCATCAGTTCATGAGATGCTTTGAGGATCATAAGGTAGGCTTTTTATGCTGTACTTTTCCTTCTCCACTCTCATTTTCACTCATTAGGTATTGTTGGGGGTTCTGCAAAATGATCCACATTTTTAAAAGTAATATAACAGCTTGGACTGTCTATTGTCTGTATCAATCATTTATAATGAAATGTGACCGTTATAATGTGCTGACTGCCAATAATTACAATCTACACAGTAAGTTCTCTTGCATAATTTCAGCTATTACACATTTCTGCCCAATTATGCATGTTATTTATTGGCCTTTTTGTTTTTTGTCTTTGTGTTAGTTTTTCACAATGACTCAAGGGCTTTAGTGAAGTTATGTTTTATATTTTGCAAAGCATTTTTGTAACAGAAATCTTGCAGTGGTACCTACTTTTACTTTGTTTGTTTTTAAAATTTTAATTTCAGTAATATTACTGCTTGAGCTTCAAATCTTCATCTCAGCCTGTTATTCCTTTGGGGGGGACAGAGAAAGAGCTATCTTAGAAGCCCACCCTCACACTTTAATTTATAGTTGGGCAGCCCTACTTATTACAGTGGAACTCGGATTCAACGAGGTCGCCGGGCCTGACCTAAAATCTCGTTGAATTCAAGTATTCGTTACAGAAAACATGAGGTTTTGTGTAGATAATTACGGGCACTGGGCAAGTAATGTATAAAGAGAAGTCACAAGTAGTGCCTGAAATGCCTACATATTACGAGCTGTGTAAAAAAAGACAGACTCTTTCAAATGCACACGCCTGTGTCATCTCGATTGTTTACCAAAAAATTGTGTTGCTGTGTAGAGCCTAGCATGCGGCACTTTTTAAAAATTCCATAGACCAGCGCACAATTTATTACGTAGATCTACGTCAAGACTAGTTTATCATTCTAATATTGATCAGTTGTTGAGGAAAAAAGACTGACGCGTTTGTATCTGCGACTTTCAACGCCCGGACTGCTAGTTGCCGCCCCCCTTCCCCCGACACGCAGCACACACAGCCACACGTGTGCAGGCCGCCCATCCGACCCCGACACACGCCAGAGTAGACACGTGCGCGTGCCAACAACGCATGTGTTGGTATGAAAAACGGCCGCTGATTGGTCGCATGCAGTCGGCTAAGTGAATAATGGTTCACGATGCAGGTGCAATAGATGGTTTCCGGGATTAGATAAAGTTTGTTCTTGGAGAAAAAAGAGCAAAGCCACATCTGCCGGGACTGTTCTCCATGAAAACGACCTCGTTTTATCTGAGCTTGCTGATTTAAATGCTCGTTGAATCCGGGTTATTTTTATCACTTTTAAAGAAGGAAAAAAACGGGGAATCTTATCTCATCTCGTTGAATCTGAGTTCCACTGTATATAATTATTTTATCCTTTTTCATTCAGGTTGTGACTTTTGATGAAATGGTTTCAAGTGGGGAAGGAATTGATCACTTGAGGAAGCCTATTTTCTGCTCTGTGCATACAGTTGAGACAATCAAGTTTTTCTGCTGTCTCTGTGTGGTACGTATTATGTTCTGTGTTTGTTTGCTTATAATATGATAATGCCGTATCTATTTTTTGTTTGTGCATCGGCTGATTTTCAGTCAACATGATATGTGCACGATACTTACATCCCCTTTGGGTTGCCTTTTGTTTGATTGTTTTACAAGTTGACTTGAGTGCTAGGGGTTTTTTTTGGGTTTTTTAAATTCAATTTTTTCTGTCTTTCAGTGCTTCTAGTTTTCTGTATTTTAACTGAAATCCTTCCTTTCCTGAAAGTTCATTATTTGCAGCCCCATATCAACTCCATCCTGAACACACAAAAAAGTACAATGTTGGCCTTTGGGTATTCCACTCCTGAGGATCTATACTTGCCTTTTTATCTTTGTGGTTAAGCTTGGGTATTTACAATAACTCTTAGCAATAAGTTGTATTTGAAATATGTTAGATTTTGCTTTTTCTGCACTCTGCCATTGTTTCTCTAAACATCCATTGCGGGTTGGTGTGGAAGGACACATCTATTCTTCGGCTCTTATATGATCTTATTGTATTGCAAGTGCCGTAAAACTCTTACTAAAATAACGAAATGTATGTAAGAAAGAAAATCGTTGTTAGAAACTATCAGTAAGGATTTTATGAGAGCAAGATTAGGCTGCAGTGCAGAAATTGATGTTCAGATTAAGGAGTGAAAAGTGGTGCCATATGGTTGTAACATTTAATATTTGAACACGAAAATAAACAGTGCTTCCGATCTGTCATATTTTACGGAAATCCATACTTTCTTAAACTTGTGTACTTGCCCCCTGTTTTTGACAATCTTAAAATGACCAATTTTCTCACTGACTACTGGTGGCTGTGTTAAAAGACAATTTCAGCTGTATGGTTATCATAAGTCAACCCATATAAGAAAGGAAGGAGTATTAGTATTGATTTGTTAGGTTTTTTTTTACTGGAATACCAACAACCTTATGGGAATAGAAAGACATTTCAGGAAGTTTTATACACAATTATCCATGCCAGCAAGAAAGAAAGTGGATTGTGTATAATTTTATATGAAAAGTAAAAAATAAAGTTGGTATATTTGCAATTTCAGAAAAGGAAATTTTTTTGAGTCAGGGAAACTATTATACATTGGCATGTCTTTTCAGAACATTTTTTTGGCACAGAAGATAACACTTCGAGTATAAGAAAGTTGCTGACTCTCCTATGAAAAACATGTTTCAGTATTTATGATGGAGATAATGTTGTTTAATTTGTCATTCAGGTACCAGCATGCCAGGAATGTGTTCAGAAGTCTCACAGCACTCCAGAACACAATGTGAAACAGCTTTCAGAGGCTATCAGTAGCAAGAAAGAAACTCTGGACAAGTTCACCGCAGAATGTGGGAAGAAACTTGATGAATGTCAGAAAATCAGCTCCAATCTCAATTTGGCTTTTGAGGAACTGGAGATGCAAAAGGACAACACCAAAGGCTTAATTGAAGAGACCTTTCAGAGCTACAAAGCAGTTTTGGAAGAGACAAGGGTGAGTACACTTTCCTTGGTTATACTGATTTTTACATTGTCCTATCTTTTACCTGATGTGATGAAGTCAAAGCTGTTCCAATTTTCATTTTAGGTGGTTTGAGGACGCCACTGGTAGGTCTCACGTCTTTACTTTCTTCCTGTTGTCTGTGTCTTACTTTATCTTAGCACTAAATGACCATTATTGTGTCAGTGTGCTTCTCTTGACTCAAGTTCAGATTTTCATCAAGTGCTTCAGTTGTTGGTCTTTTAGTTTTTAACATCCACCATTGTGAAGTAGTTGCATAAAAAATCATTGTACTGGGCTAGCTAACATGTAGTTTTGTTGTGGTAGATTACCTGCTTTTAAAGAAGTATAGTGGGTGGTTGGCGGGTGCTCTGGTGTGGTTTGCTCCTTCTTTCCTATCAAATATCTACCATCGTAATCTTTCCTCCTTCTGTTTTGTGTGTTACTCTCTTGTAACATCTATTATCTCTAAGCTTCGGCATTTATATGACCTTATTGTGTTGTAAATGCCGTAAAACTCTTACTAAAACTAAAAAGAAATATAATTAGTGATTTTAAACTAAATTCATTGCAAAGGCAATTGCTTTTGCTTTTTGAGGGGTCTCTGGTCAAAATTCACAATTTATGGTAATATTTCAGAGTACCGAGATCTGTGAAATGTATCTTCAGCAAACTAAAAAATTAAATGGTAGTGGAGACCAGATTCTTAATAAGTCTACTGAGTGGAGGAAAGGAATACTTCTGTCAAAGAAATTGTCTCTCAATTTAGAAAAATACAATGGTTGTGTTGTTGATTTAGTTGTAGATGTGTGGCAGATATTTTTGATGGCAAGAACAAAATTCTTAATAGTTACAAAGTGACGTAAGTGTTAAAGTCATTACTGTTAGGTAACCAAAGCACTGAAATAATGAATATTGATATGCAGTCCTCTGGCCACACATACATGGGCCATGGCAGTGAGTGATGTTATCCTTTTTTAACCCTTAAGATTCTGGTCCCTGATAAATGTTTGCCCGATAAGTGCAATCCCGCGCGGCGCTCCACAGCTGGTCCCTGATCAGTCGTCGTCCCGCGCGGGCAACGCATTTCGTTTAGGGCGGGGTCTGCATCTGTGTGCTAAGATGTGTGTGGGTCAGTCTGCTTGTGCCTGTGTGTCCATTTGGAACTTACTGCATTGTTTTGCAACGCGAGGCGTTGGTAGAGATAACAGAACGTCGGTTGAGACGTTCATCCAATGAAATATGAGCATTTTGACCCAGTTATACACTTGAGGGACTCGAAAGGATATTCAGGAAATAGGACTTTCATCTTTCAATGCAAACACCTTTCCTCACTTTTCAAACGATCTAATTCTTACACCAAACGTTGTTTCCTGATATAAATAATCATATTTGGTGGTTTTTGAACCATTGTCCTACCAGAGGGAGACATTTGAGAGCAACTGAATAAAAAAAATATTAGGAAATTATCCCATTTTTTTCCCCTTTCGAACGATAGCTGATAAGCAGCTGTTCGCAAGTTCATTCATAATAGGTGTGAAATCTGGAAAACTCTGGAAAAGTTATTCGATTTGGTGTAACTTCCAATCTCAGCGTCTCTGATCTACCAACGAGGGGATAATGGGATTATTCGTGTGATCGTAACACTTATTCATTGATCATATCAGTTTGCTGTAAAAGATGTGTTTCCCTGACCTGCCGCAGCACGCTCGCGTGACCGGTGTCTGACCCCGGCGCCCCGCGGCACAAGCTCGCAGGCGATGTAGGTGGGTCATCGATCGATAAGAGTCCTCTTCCGGTTAACCCCGCAGGACTAGAGTTAAGGCTACATGTAGGTTGGTCCCAGCTTAGCTTATCAACTTCTTTAATGACATAATGAGCTTATGCATTGTAGGCTCAACAGGAAGTCTCAAACCTCGAAAACTCCTTTGTCGTAAAAGTTACTTTAGAAGAGAGCATGGCTTCTTGTAGTGATTGTCCTGTATTATTGTTCTGAGGTGAAAACAGTGGGTGGTTGATGGGTGCTCTGGTTTGGTTTGCTCCTATCAAACATCTATAGTCCTTATCTCTCCTTTTTTTGTATTTGTTACTCTCTTGTAACAACTAATTTTCAGCACTTCTATGACCTTTCTATGTTGCAAGTACTGTAAAACAAAAGCAAGCGACGAGTACGGCAGAAAGTAATATATATGGTTTAAAATTTGGGGATGGGTACTAATTTTTTGCATAAATATGAAAATCCAGATTTCTGAAATAGTCTACAATTTGCCTGATTTCAGGCCAAATATGTTTTTAAAGTCATGGAACAAGTTTTATTTAGACTATGATCCGTATAAATTATTTTCTAGTGGGTGTTTCAATGTGGCTAAAAAAAGTTCAGGATTTTTATGCGTCTGACCAGTTGGCACCTCTGCACATAAGTTGGTGCATGCGCTGAATAATATACTCACACACATTTTTTCTTTTTCAGAATGCATTTTTGAAAGAGCTTGATGAGTTGCACGAGAAACGAGAGTTGTGCTTAATGGAGCGCACTCACAAGTTGTCCAACTTCGAGAACCAGTTGTCCCAGGCAAAAGGCTTTGTAGATCGTGTTTGTGAACATGGTCATGCGGGCCAAATTGCTCAACTCCTGCAAATGATGTTGACCCAGCTAAATACTTTGTGCATGGGTTTCATTATGCCAGACATACCAGCCAACACAGAATTCAAGACTGATGCCCCATCTTTCAGCAATGCTGTGAAAAGCACTTTTGGATATTTTTCAAAAGAGAAAGGGGAAATGGTAAGAGCGTAGTAGATATTTTTGCGTTATTACATGTTATTCAGTTGATGCTTTCTACAAGCTGGCCTTTTTTTTTCAATGTATACCTAAATTTTATCTTCTAGAGTGGACGGAATTGCATTTAAGCAGAAATGTGCCATTTTCGTGTATTGTTTCTGAAATAACAGGTGTAAGTCAATGTGAGGTATGACCTTGCTAATTTTTAGTTAGGGTTGGCCGTAAAACTCTTACTAAAATAACGAAATGTATGTAAGAAAGAAAATCGTTGTTAGAAACTATCAGTAAGGATTTTATGAGAGCAAGATTAGGCTGCAGTGCAGAAATTGATGTTCAGATTAAGGAGTGAAAAGTGGTGCCATATGGTTGTAACATTTAATATTTGAACACGAAAATAAACAGTGCTTCCGATCTGTCATATTTTACGGAAATCCATACTTTCTTAAACTTGTGTACTTGCCCCCTGTTTTTGACAATCTTAAAATGACCAATTTTCTCACTGACTACTGGTGGCTGTGTTAAAAGACAATTTCAGCTGTATGGTTATCATAAGTCAACCCATATAAGAAAGGAAGGAGTATTAGTATTGATTTGTTAGGTTTTTTTTTACTGGAATACCAACAACCTTATGGGAATAGAAAGACATTTCAGGAAGTTTTATACACAATTATCCATGCCAGCAAGAAAGAAAGTGGATTGTGTATAATTTTATATGAAAAGTAAAAAATAAAGTTGGTATATTTGCAATTTCAGAAAAGGAAATTTTTTTGAGTCAGGGAAACTATTATACATTGGCATGTCTTTTCAGAACATTTTTTTGGCACAGAAGATAACACTTCGAGTATAAGAAAGTTGCTGACTCTCCTATGAAAAACATGTTTCAGTATTTATGATGGAGATAATGTTGTTTAATTTGTCATTCAGGTACCAGCATGCCAGGAATGTGTTCAGAAGTCTCACAGCACTCCAGAACACAATGTGAAACAGCTTTCAGAGGCTATCAGTAGCAAGAAAGAAACTCTGGACAAGTTCACCGCAGAATGTGGGAAGAAACTTGATGAATGTCAGAAAATCAGCTCCAATCTCAATTTGGCTTTTGAGGAACTGGAGATGCAAAAGGACAACACCAAAGGCTTAATTGAAGAGACCTTTCAGAGCTACAAAGCAGTTTTGGAAGAGACAAGGGTGAGTACACTTTCCTTGGTTATACTGATTTTTACATTGTCCTATCTTTTACCTGATGTGATGAAGTCAAAGCTGTTCCAATTTTCATTTTAGGTGGTTTGAGGACGCCACTGGTAGGTCTCACGTCTTTACTTTCTTCCTGTTGTCTGTGTCTTACTTTATCTTAGCACTAAATGACCATTATTGTGTCAGTGTGCTTCTCTTGACTCAAGTTCAGATTTTCATCAAGTGCTTCAGTTGTTGGTCTTTTAGTTTTTAACATCCACCATTGTGAAGTAGTTGCATAAAAAATCATTGTACTGGGCTAGCTAACATGTAGTTTTGTTGTGGTAGATTACCTGCTTTTAAAGAAGTATAGTGGGTGGTTGGCGGGTGCTCTGGTGTGGTTTGCTCCTTCTTTCCTATCAAATATCTACCATCGTAATCTTTCCTCCTTCTGTTTTGTGTGTTACTCTCTTGTAACATCTATTATCTCTAAGCTTCGGCATTTATATGACCTTATTGTGTTGTAAATGCCGTAAAACTCTTACTAAAACTAAAAAGAAATATAATTAGTGATTTTAAACTAAATTCATTGCAAAGGCAATTGCTTTTGCTTTTTGAGGGGTCTCTGGTCAAAATTCACAATTTATGGTAATATTTCAGAGTACCGAGATCTGTGAAATGTATCTTCAGCAAACTAAAAAATTAAATGGTAGTGGAGACCAGATTCTTAATAAGTCTACTGAGTGGAGGAAAGGAATACTTCTGTCAAAGAAATTGTCTCTCAATTTAGAAAAATACAATGGTTGTGTTGTTGATTTAGTTGTAGATGTGTGGCAGATATTTTTGATGGCAAGAACAAAATTCTTAATAGTTACAAAGTGACGTAAGTGTTAAAGTCATTACTGTTAGGTAACCAAAGCACTGAAATAATGAATATTGATATGCAGTCCTCTGGCCACACATACATGGGCCATGGCAGTGAGTGATGTTATCCTTTTTTAACCCTTAAGATTCTGGTCCCTGATAAATGTTTGCCCGATAAGTGCAATCCCGCGCGGCGCTCCACAGCTGGTCCCTGATCAGTCGTCGTCCCGCGCGGGCAACGCATTTCGTTTAGGGCGGGGTCTGCATCTGTGTGCTAAGATGTGTGTGGGTCAGTCTGCTTGTGCCTGTGTGTCCATTTGGAACTTACTGCATTGTTTTGCAACGCGAGGCGTTGGTAGAGATAACAGAACGTCGGTTGAGACGTTCATCCAATGAAATATGAGCATTTTGACCCAGTTATACACTTGAGGGACTCGAAAGGATATTCAGGAAATAGGACTTTCATCTTTCAATGCAAACACCTTTCCTCACTTTTCAAACGATCTAATTCTTACACCAAACGTTGTTTCCTGATATAAATAATCATATTTGGTGGTTTTTGAACCATTGTCCTACCAGAGGGAGAAATTTGAGAGCAACTGAATAAAAAAAATATTAGGAAATTATCCCGTTTTTTTCCTCTTTCGAACGATAGCTGATAAGCAGCTGTTCGCAAGTTCATTCATAATAGGTGTGAAATCTGGAAAACTCTGGAAAAGTTATTCGATTTGGTGTAACTTCCAATCTCAGCGTCTCTGATCAACCGACGAGTAGAAAATGGGATTATTCGTGTGATCGTAACACTTATTCATTGATCATATCAGTTTGCTGTAAAAGATGTGTTTCCCTGACCTGCCGCAGCACGCTCGCGTGACCGGTGTCTGACCCCGGCGCCCCGCGGCACAAGCTCGCAGGCGATGTAGGTGGGTCATCGATCGATAAGAGTCCTCTTCCGGTTAACCCCGCAGGACTAGAGTTAAGGCTACATGTAGGTTGGTCCCAGCTTAGCTTATCAACTTCTTTAATGACATAATGAGCTTATGCATTGTAGGCTCAACAGGAAGTCTCAAACCTCGAAAACTCCTTTGTCGTAAAAGTTACTTTAGAAGAGAGCATGGCTTCTTGTAGTGATTGTCCTGTATTATTGTTCTGAGGTGAAAACAGTGGGTGGTTGATGGGTGCTCTGGTTTGGTTTGCTCCTATCAAACATCTATAGTCCTTATCTCTCCTTTTTTTGTATTTGTTACTCTCTTGTAACAACTAATTTTCAGCACTTCTATGACCTTTCTATGTTGCAAGTACTGTAAAACAAAAGCAAGCGACGAGTACGGCAGAAAGTAATATATATGGTTTAAAATTTGGGGATGGGTACTAATTTTTTGCATAAATATGAAAATCCAGATTTCTGAAATAGTCTACAATTTGCCTGATTTCAGGCCAAATATGTTTTTAAAGTCATGGAACAAGTTTTATTTAGACTATGATCCGTATAAATTATTTTCTAGTGGGTGTTTCAATGTGGCTAAAAAAAGTTCAGGATTTTTATGCGTCTGACCAGTTGGCACCTCTGCACATAAGTTGGTGCATGCGCTGAATAATATACTCACACACATTTTTTCTTTTTCAGAATGCATTTTTGAAAGAGCTTGATGAGTTGCACGAGAAACGAGAGTTGTGCTTAATGGAGCGCACTCACAAGTTGTCCAACTTCGAGAACCAGTTGTCCCAGGCAAAAGGCTTTGTAGATCGTGTTTGTGAACATGGTCATGCGGGCCAAATTGCTCAACTCCTGCAAATGATGTTGACCCAGCTAAATACTTTGTGCATGGGTTTCATTATGCCAGACATACCAGCCAACACAGAATTCAAGACTGATGCCCCATCTTTCAGCAATGCTGTGAAAAGCACTTTTGGATATTTTTCAAAAGAGAAAGGGGAAATGGTAAGAGCGTAGTAGATATTTTTGCGTTATTACATGTTATTCAGTTGATGCTTTCTACAAGCTGGCCTTTTTTTTTCAATGTATACCTAAATTTTATCTTCTAGAGTGGACGGAATTGCATTTAAGCAGAAATGTGCCATTTTCGTGTATTGTTTCTGAAATAACAGGTGTAAGTCAATGTGAGGTATGACCTTGCTAATTTTTAGTTAGGGTTGGTTATGTTCATGGGGGTTTGGGGGGGGGGGGGGGGGGGCACTTGCATTTGTACAACTTATATGAAAAGTTGGTTAAAAGTTAATGATCCTAAAAAAAAATTTTTACAATTAGTGCATTTAGACTTAGCTATTACCCATTGTTTACAGAGCGTTGACTAGTTTTCCAGTTGCTGAGTCTTTTATTTCTCTAAACTACCCTCTACTAAAACTAAACTAACTTACTCTGTCTATTTGTTTCTCTAGGCCCAGAGTGGGATGCAGCTACAGTCCCCGTTTGAGAATGAAGGCTTCTCTCTACCAAACATGCTTTCTGTGGGGAGTAACCTGATTCAGTCTCCAAGCAACCAAGAACTGATGAATCTTGGGAATTTACGAGGGGGTGCCATGAACATGGGCATGGGCCAAGGCATAGATAGTCTGCCTCTTGCAGGCATATCTGGCCTGAGCAATGTGGCTCTGTCGCAGCACCACGACGGCACAGTGTCTGGCAACAACAGTCCTTTATCAGACAGTGGTATTTCTGTGGACAATGTCAGTCACAGCAGTGGTGGCAATGCTGCCATGATGAATGCAGCTGCTATGGCCAAGCTCCACCAAAGTCAAAGTGAGTGGAGAGTGCTTTTCGTTTGTCTTTGTTTATTGACTGTCAAGATAGAACGCAAAGGATCGGATTCTTTCACAGATATCTCTCACTCTGAACGTCCCACTGCTTTTCACACACACGTACACGCACCCGGGGGCGGTGCCTTTGACTGAAGTGTCTTTTAGGCTGTTCCCAGAGGAGGGACATTAACTTGTTCTTATGCACAGTAGAATAGTAATTATAAATGGACTGATTCATCATTGTCATGTTCATAACTGTGCCTGAACTTCTACAGGGAACTGCTGCTTTTTTTTCCCAATCCTTACTATCATCATTTTCCTCTTCTTCTTTTGTGTGTTTGTCACACTCTTGTGACCCGCTTTTTCTGGGATGCCTTGACAGTTGAAGCAGACTTTGTGCTGTTGATGCTTGAGAGGTGAGCAGAGTAAGCCTGATTCCCTGTAAGGGCTTCTTTGTTGACATCCATCCTTTGGCACTTTGAGATGTCATAACATTCTTAAATCTGAATGGACATTCCCAAAAACTTGTAAACACACAATCATACACATAGAGAACAAGCCCAATTTTTGTCAGGGCTATCATATAACCAGAAGATGGAAATTTATTGACGTAAACGTGGCTTTTTGACAAGGGGAGGTGGAAAATCCCCACTCGCGACACTGGCTTATCGGCTGCGCGCTGGGCCGCGCTGACAGGAAGGAGAACGAATTTGTGCGAAACTACGCCGATGATGTCCTGATTGGGAGCATCCTGTATTTATTTGCGTATAATGGCTGTGTTATTCTTGGAGAGGAATGAATGGGCTTTCTGTCAATATATTTCCATAGTCCGATCACTGGTTTCATTTTTTTTTTTAAAACAGCATAGAAAATTTTCACACGCAAATCTCTTTTATTAATTTTTTAAGGACAGTCTTCAGAAATATATCACCGGACAGAGCGTTTTCTCATCTTGAATTATCGACGAATCAGATTGCAGTCTTTAATATCATACGCTCCTAGTTCCTGTTCAACCGAGGTCACCTAAAAAATCAATACACTATGAAACGCGCAGTCGCAGCGGTGAAAACCTTGATAGTGTTGTCTTTTATCCCACAAGTTTTTGCTTTCAAAAGAATCCTTGATTCAAATAAATAATACCACTGAAAAGAAGAAAAGCCCCTCTTTTTTCTGATATATCAAGTGTCTGTGTGTATGTATGATCACACTGTGTTTTAGGAGGGTAAAAATATGGGTTTTGGTCTCTGACATGCTAGTTTGCGGTACCCAGAGAGAGACAAGTTGGTCTGTTTTGTATTACAGTGGAAACCATATATAACAGGCCTGGTAATAACAGGGATCCGGTAATAACATAATCCCTTTTCTTCCTACTCCAGAGATGCCAACCAGTACGATTTTACGTATTTTAGTACGATTTTTTCCCCGGAAATACGCGAATAAGACTTTTCATGAAAAAATACACATCCTGGAATGCGAAAAATACGAGATCCAGTTTGGGCGAGTAAACCTAATTATCTCAAGTCCCCTCTTTTGTCAAAATAGTATCAGTATCGCGGAACTGGAATAATTGAAAACCAAGTCCGATAAGGTCAGTAAGTTCATTTTTGCCGGTCGCGATTGTGATATTATATTCGTTTAGCTTTTCCTCCTCCAAGAGTACGTTTCACTTTCATGCGAACATGCGGCTATGGCGGCAGGCGGAAATGTTTGTGACATCGAGGCTTGATCGGGAAAATCAAGATTTACTTTCGCTTTTGTTACCACCGAGAAGTTTGCCAGCGGTAGACTGATAACGCAACTTCTTTGTGACATGCAGTGTAAACGCTGTGTTGCCGTGCAAATAAAATTTCTCGAACTCGTCTCTGTGCTGTCACTTGTAGGAAAAAAAGAAAAGAAAGTACAAGCGTCGTCCGATTTTTAGATTGTCGGGCTTATCGTGACCGGTCAATGAACCTGCTCGCATTCACATCACAAATAAATGCGGCATCGTGTGAGCAAAGACCGTGTTTGTTGGGAGTAACGGCGTTGCCAAGTATAGGACTACGGAAGGGGATTATCGATTTTTTTTAAATACACTCGGGGGGAGGAGGCGTGAAGGAAACACCCAGAGGACAAAAACTTGGAGGCAAATTTCAGAATTTTGATTAGAGCTCTCTGCAAAGCGCGCATTGGTGCAGGCCGTGTGCGGAATCAGGACCCTTCATACTTTGCAAGTCTGTGTAATTGAAATAAAATGTTCACGTGTCATTGGATGGGTGATAGTAAATTATACCTACAGTGTATGTTGTAGCTTTCTGTTCAAGACGGGCAGATTTTCAGTGTCACTGCATCTTCCCCCCCCACAGTTGTTACAACAGACTGAACTTAAGTCAAACAAGACCCCAGTACGACACTGTCATGTTGTTGACTGGATACATGTTTATTGTACGCCTATGTGCTCCCTTTTTCGAGCTGGTGAGCTAGTAGTTTTTTTCCAGGAAATATTGCTGGACACTCTGAACATTTTACTGGTTGGTCGGTCGGTCGTGGAGAATACACATTTCCCCCTGAAAATACACATTTTCATATTTCCCAATACTCATATTGGTTTTCTGTGGTTGGCATCTCTGCTACTCTTTCGTCTTTATTAAAAGTTATCGACAATAACGGCCTCATCGAAGTGCAATTGGTTATAGCAGGGACAAAGGCTCGTTAACAATGTCTAAAACATGAGAGAGAGTGACACAGTGATGGAGCAAGCCCACGCAAGCACGCGCAGCGGGTAAGGCGAGAGAAGGCTGCAGTGTGATGTAGACTTCGATCTAGTCCTAATGCAGCTGGATTAGTCCACAAATGATTACTTCCCTTGCATTTATGATATAACAGGGATCTGATATAACAGGACTTTTTCTCTGGTCCTAACACCCCTGTTGTATCAGGTTTCCACTGTAAATGTTTTTTATGTGACATGTTTTCAGAACGTGTGTGTGTTTTTGTCTTTTTTCAAAAGCTGCAAATTGGGACATTATATGAGCTACTCTGGTTGTGTGTATCCTTTGAGCAGGCTAGTACACTGAGAACAGCTCCTGTTCCAACCCAGTGTATACATTATTGGGGAGTCATCCGCCTCATGCGTAGAGTTATTTGTTATTTTGAAATTCTTTTTAAGATACATGTCTCAGAAAGTTAAGGTTTTGAAGAAATATAATTTCCAAGTGGTGCCAAAGACCCATTCTTTTTTATTTTTTATATTCCCGTGCCCAAGGACTTCGCAAGTACAGTTTCTGAAATTAGTTTTTAAAAAGCACTCCTACCTTCTGTACCATACATGATAGTCTTTATATGATTATTTTTTACTTTTCAGGTCCTCTGTTTGCTCCAGGGATGAGCATGTCTGGCCCTATTGTGGGAGCACAAGGCAATGCTATCACTTCTGGATCAGGCGATAATTCCTTGGCCAGTATTCTGGGGGCTGCGACTCCGGTCTCCAGTACTTCAGCAGCAACAGTTCAGAGTGCTAATATTGAAGGGCTTGCCTCTTTGCTAAATCAGCCTCCACCTCCAACTATTAACACCTTTAACAGCATTGGCTCGATTGATCATTTCAATGCTGCTGGTAAGTTCTTTAGTTAAACACCGGTGGCATTGTTTTCTACACTTCATCGTGGAATTTTAATCTGACATCAGTGTTTGTTTCAAGTAATATTACTGATTAATGCAGGACAGTGTGTTCATACAACAAATTGTTGAGCACTGGGAGGGCATTTCTAAAATTCAGTTCAAATGACTTAGGATTGACAATTTAGCTTGCTTGAGTCATGGATTCCGAGGGTTAAAAAGGGCTACTTTTTATGGGATGTATCGCAAGTTTAACCCTTGAATTTTCTATAATTAAAACAAAAAAAGAAATTAGATCAGCCATTGACAGTGTTGATGAGAAGTGTAGCCAGATGTTAACTGTTTTCTTTGACCATCATTCACAATTATTTTTGGCTGTTGTTTTGGATGTCTTTCCCTTCTACTTAATATGGCTCATTTATTTCATTATGTGTGGGTGGTTGGCGGGTGCTGTGGTGTGGTTTGCTCCTTCCTTCCTACCGAACATCTATCATCCTTCTCGCTCCTCCTTTTTTTGTGTTTGTTACTCTCTTGTAACACCTCTAATCTTCGGCACTTATATGACCTTATAGTGTTGCAAGTGCCGTAAAACTCTTACTAAAACATTTCATTTTGTTTGTAATCACAGCACCTGTTCCTCCAGAACTGGGTTCTCCAAACTTCTCCAATGAACCGTATCCTCCTGTCAGGCGTTCAAGCAAAACGAATGCCATGCAGATCAGGTATTTATCTAGTTGTTTAATTTATTTATTTTTTCTTTGTTCTTGTGCTTTGTTGTGTTGGAAGGGGAGAAACGTTTTTCCCATCATTAAACATTTTGTTCCTGTGTTAACATTCAGTAGTTTGTTTGACAGTGGGCTTATTGATTTATAAAATTACAAGTTCAGTCTTCTTCTGTGTCCAATGTAAGCACACTTGTGTTCTGGCCTGTGTTCTGTTTGTTTGCATCGCCAGAGTACAGGTGTAGGTTAAAGTTGGAAGGTTTTCATACATGCTCATATAAATTCAGATGGACATGAGAAAAATGGAATACGAACTTTTACAACCTATAAGACCTGTTTGGGGGGGGGGGGGGGGGGGCAGAATGAAATGCCCAATGTATAAATGATTTCTGTTTTTGTCCCCACAATTGTTCAAGGTGTTTTGTTCTTGGTTATACGTCTGGTGTTGACTGGCCCTTGGCCCTTGTTATTCAGCAGATTCCCGAGTGGCATGGGCGACACGGAGATTGGCCACTGGGGACCCCAGCACAAACAAGTCAATGAAGTGCCCCTGAGGTTATTTGATTCTGTTGTACCTAGCACTTGCTTGTCTATAGTGTGCATGCATTGTGTGTCTTTATATGTGGTTTGCTGTGATCAGTGTGGGTGAAGGAAATCTTCAAGCATATGTTTCTGTTGCACTAATGTATTCTGCTTTATTATTGTACTGTATTCTGTTCATATAATCCTAGTGCTTAGATATTGGGGAAACAGTAGGTAGACTGTTTGGGGAACAGGATATTGGTTGGTTTAGGGCAGAAAAATTGTGCCTTCCCCTGAACAAATAACTAGAGTTGCCCTTGTAAGATCCATGTGGTGAAGATCTGTTTGAATTTACAAATAAACTGTTCTTGACCTCCGGTAGTTATCCTGACTTGGGTTCTGGAACATAAGAAACCAGTCCCCTTCAACCAATCATAGGAAGCCCCGTCCCCTTCCATCACTAGACTGTCATGTTCTAAGCGGGTGCTGGTCAAGCTGTTAGGTATTAACTGTTATTGCCAGTGAGAATACTTCTGCGCTTGAACTTACTTCACATGTTATCAATGTTTGTTTCGTTTACTAAAGTGATAGGAAAGGAGGCAGTAGATTTGATAGTTTTTGTCAACGCCCTCGTCTGTTTCAGCTCTGAAATATATTGAGGTGTGCCAAAACCCTTCTCTTTTTTAACTCTCTCGGGTTCGCCACTTTTTGAGAAAATTGTGTCGATTCACAACCTCTTCAGATCTTTGCCCTGGTGTGAGTATGTCTTGTACTATACCCAAGCTTATTATGTATCTATGTAAAGGAAATTGAATGTAGAATACAGTAAAATGATAACAATTAATTTTTTTTATGTCTGCTTTCAGTGGTGACCTACTTTAACTGTTACTAAAAATAGATTGCGCACACAATTTTACATGAAACTGACAAACATAAAGAAGGAAAAAAAAAAGTATGATCAGATTGACCCAAAATTTATTGATATTCTAAAAGAATGTCCATTTCTGCTCATGACAGACAAAGAATGAATAATTTAGGACCCATATGAACACTTTGGTGGCACATGGAAAATTACATGTATTTTGGAGATAATTGTTACCGAAAATAGAATTTTCACAAAATTCTCTTATTACTCCCATTGTGCCAAGATTAGGCTATGGTATTTCTACAAAAACATTCAAATCACATTATTTGACAATAAAAGAAGAGAATTCATCATCTAAAAGGTTTATAAACCAACTGTGATGCAAGAAAAATTAAAACTTGAGTTGAAAAATAGTGACGAAAACATTTGTGCATATATTTCCACTCAGAGTATGTCATTGAATACAAAACATCACTCATACTCATTAGCTGGATGATCTAAAAGAAGACAGTTTCTTGTGCTACTAAAACAGAAGTTTTTTCCACACTTGTTACATTTGAAACTAGACACTTTCTCAAGACGATAACAACGAAAACAATTTCTGCGCTAGAGATGGACGAGTCTCTTTCATTGCCGCAAGGTTGGCCTACTCGTAGGTGTATGTGCAGATCTGCAACACAAATGCCTCCATTCGAAAGAGTGAAGAAAGCACCTGTTGAAAAATAGAAACACAAGAAAGAATTGTTGATAAAAGTATCCATGATAAGAGATATTTATGTTAAGATAAATTTGATGGATCCACGAGAGAAATTTTAGGTGGATATATAGGCTATACCAGTAGCCTACATCAACATACAACATTCAGCAACAACACAGCAAAGTACACATTACAAATTATACAACGCTCGCACCAATGCACCATTCAATCAGACAAATGTACACACACAGTACATCTGTGCGGGATGAACCCTTCTCTCCGTCTCGCTCATTCTTTTACCCTCTCTTCTGCCCCCCCCCCCCCTCCGTTTCTCTCTTCCTCTCATGCAAGAGCACACACACATACACACACACACACACACACAAACTCTCTCTCTCTCACACACACACACACAGTGTTCAACAGATCAACAGTTAATTTTGAACATAACAGACATCCCAATTTGTCCGTAAATTCTTGTTATAACTAAAGTAAATGAATAGTCAAGCAAAGCATACAAATTGTTTCATTATTTGAGAAAAAAAGCCTGAGCATTAGCAATACCTACTGATTTTTTATAGTCTTGTTGTAAAAAATAATGATTATAAAAAAGCAAATGGACCAGGGGAAAAATTCACCTGGTGTCAGATATTTCCGCATTTTGTTTGGTCCGGTCCTCATCGAGATGCAGGCCTGGCCGCAGCGTCGGCTTGAACTTGGGTACCTTGCATCATCCGCATCACGTTACGAACCACTGAAGTCACCCCTGTCGGAAAATGCACAGGAACAAGGCATGTTAGAACAAGTCCAGCAAGACTTTTTTTTCCACCACTCCAATCATACCACTCTCCATTTGTCAGACTCAGTTTACAAAAATGACAACTCGCAACTCACCTGAGCTGAGGTCAAATAGACTCTAGAACTAGATCTAGATCTAGATCTAAATAAATTATTCCCTTGTTCACATAAAAATTAAAAATTGATGATACATTTAAATTGAAACAAATAATAACAAACTGCAGTAGATAGCAAACGTTATCAATCAGTTGTATTATGTTGTAAACTAAGAGAATCGTCTCAGGATCCGCCATTTTGAACGTAAACAAGCAGCTAGCAACCGCACCTTGGGTACAAAAAAAATGCCAAAAAAATAATAAAAGCGAGAAAAACCTATCAATTCTAACCAATTTCACAAGAAAACACAAAATTTTAATCATTTATACAATAAAACACACGTTTTAGTACCCCCCGGGCCAATATTATGTTTCGATAGGTCTAGCTGTTCATAGATGCTCAATGCAATCATCACTTACCCGTTGGCTGCACCACTTGGTCCTGGTTGAGGACTTGCTACGTCATTGTCAGACTCTTTATCTGATTCAGAGTCTCTGTCATCGATAGAAAACTCACTAAATGAGTCATCCAGACCATAATCGGGGTCAGAATCGGACATTTTACTTGAAAACTTGTTCGTTTTTTGTGAAGACAGTCGCGCAGCTGTTCTTTGTTTACAAAATGGAGGCGAAGGAAACGAAAGTGGTCGGGAAATTGAGGTCATTATCCGGGCACCTCTAACGGCTAACTCTTTCGAAAAAGGAGTTACAAATTGTGTATTTATAAAAGTTTAGCCATTCCTTTACCGAAATAAACCACATAGCAGACTCTAGGCGAATTTTTATAGCGACAGCCGGCTTCGCTCTGGGCCCACCGGCCATCGACCGATATCGGTCGATATACAAGGGCGTGAACTCGAGAGAGTTAAAATATGTCTTGGTCTTTGGTTGCTTTTCACTCTCACTTGGTTGGGGTTTTTTTTAGTGCACATACGTCTGAAAACTAACTCTGTGTAATGCATCTTGTATATTTATTTCTTTTATTTGAATGTTTGTGTCAGTGCTTCCAACCATTTTTTTTAATTTAAAAGAAACTCCACTGATCGGTCATTTTATTATCAGCTCATTCTTTCTTGACCTTTTCTTCTTCTTCCTCGTTCTCGATGACAGCAGCTAGACAAACAGTCCGATGTCGCGCACAAACTGTGCAGTTCGCTTCGAATCTGAGACACTGCCATAGATCTTTCTCTCAAGGGGAGTCACATTCTGCCACGTCTGTGTGCGAAGGAATCTCTTGACCTAAACATACTATTTGTATAATTTTTTATACCTCTTCATGGAAACCATAAGTCTGTATTTTCAAGTGTAAAGAAGCTAAAACCAATAAGATCTTTTTTTCTCCGTTGTTGGGAAGCACTGGTATGTTTTTGTTTTTTGTATTCACTGTTTGCACGGTCTTCACTTTTGGTGTGCCACTCTTTGTTTAGCGGGTTACCCTCTCTTGACTAAAGGCTTTGCATCTGCCACTGTTTTAGATGTTTGGGGAAAGTCAGATTGAACAAAAATATTTAGTGAATTTGTTGTAAAAAGAGGTGCTTCCACTCTTCCCCACCAATGGCAAATCTGATAGATACATTGTCATAGTCATATACTGGTTGGTTGGTGGTTTGTATTACTTTATTTTTGTATTTTTCTTTAAGTTATTTTTTTGTTTGGTGTATACAGGGTTCTACTCAACCAGAAAACCGGGAAAAAGCCAGAAATTTTATTTTTCAGATTTCCCAGTTGCAAAAACACCATAAAAATGAATAAAAACGAAAATATACGAGAGAAAGCTAGGAAATCAAAAGTGATGCCAGTAGTTATGGTTTTCTGGAATCTTTAAAGTTTTTAAACTCAAGACTTTCAATTTGACAAAAATAGGATTGTAACACCTCACCCCTGATTCTGAAGTTTTTTGATGTATGCAACTGACACCCCAGGGAAAGGGACTGTCCGTGACCATAGCACAATTTTTACCTTGCATTTCTATTCATTTCTACTTCCTTGCTTTGACTTCCTTTTTAAAAAATCACTTTGAAAATGGTTGCAAAATCCAGGACAAAGCGGGAAGTTTTCCCCCCTGGTGTGGTTTGCTCCTTTCCTATTGAACATTTATCATACTTACTTCCTCCTTCACTTACGATCTCACTGATTTGAGAAGACAATTTTTACTATAAAAAGTCAACAGTATGGTCTTGTCCTGAAGAGACTTCATTCGGCCAAGATCCCGCATTTCAGATCATAATTCACAGAACTGAGGCTCAGGTGGGCACAGCTGGTCAACCAGTCTGATCATTGACCAAAACTAAGCCATTCTGTTCAACTGTTGTGAATGCGACCAACTTGTGCTTTTGCGCGCTGATATGACCTTATGCAGTTGCAAGCACCATAAAACTCTTGCTAAACTAAAACTGAATACCAAGCAGGGAAAATTTGCTATCATTGTACTGCGTGTTGCGTCAGATCATCTACTCCCGTAAATATGATCACGTCCTGTCTCAAAATCTGGATCAGTGGGTACAATGTTTGCCCCTGACGGGATCACACAGGTGTGAACTGGTCGTTGCATTTTTGTTTTCCACGAATATTGCACTCGCATTTGAGCCGCCTGCCTGAACTTACATCACACACTGAGTGGGTAGGGCATGGCTACGTCAGATGAGATCACTTTGAAATTGGAACTTGTGTATGCTCAATGTGAAGATTGCGGGCCTGATCATAAATGACTGGATTCTCTGTTACGAATCTGCTAAGATCCTGCATTTTCTTTGCTCCCAAACCTTGGGATCTTAGATGGAGACTAATGTATTCCTATTCTAGTGCAGTCTGTACAATTAAACCTGGAACGTCGCTTTCTTCTGTGTTGTCAGTTGCTGCTATTTGTTGCTTTGCCTGATGCCTGTAGAATGTTTTGTTTAGCCAGTGTGTTTCTTTAATTGTCAAATTAATGAAAACATTTTTTTCGGCTGGGGGCTTTTGTTTGGTATCCTGCTACTGTTATTACAAAATCTACTGTTGTTGTGCAGCATGCGTTTTGCCTATTATATATACGTGAGGCAGTGTGGTGAAATCAGGCGCTTGTCAAATATAAAAAGAAATAGGAGAAACAGACCAGGCGTTTCCCCGCCAGTTGGGCAATTTTTTTTCTTCAAATTTTTGTTTTTATGCTCAGCCCATGTCTATTCAAACACATATTTCCATTTGAATTTTACTGGAAGAAGTTCAGTAAAGGTACAAAATTTTGTCATTCTTCAGTGTTCAAGGACTCTTTAGCTTTTGGAGTTACCAAACCTTGGCGGCTATTTTCTTGCTTGTTTCACCACTGAAACCAGGCGACCTCACCTCCTTCCAATCGCAGATATCTTGACTTCTCTTCAACATAGATGGGTTGTTGTTTGTTTTTTATTGAAAGCACGATAAATGAAGCAGCTTTAAAATTATACCAATAACTCATGTCCAAAAATTGACGAGCGCCTGATTCCACCGCGCCGTGACACGTCTTCTTTTCTTTTGCCATTAACAAGTCCTAGTAATTGTTAATGTGGCAATTTACTCACATAAACTCTATAGAGGTTGTATCTTAACAAATGTTTCTTCGTTTTGTATATTTCTGACTGGTACATTGGTGTTGGTTTGCTTCTCCTTCTCTACTTCATAGTATTTTAAAGGATTGATGGGTGGTTGGAGGATGCCACTAGTCCTATTTCATTTCATTTCCTCTTTTGTTATTGTGTCTGCTTTTTCCCCCTGCACTAAATGGCTGTTAGCGTGTGGATTTAGCTTCTCGGTTCTCGGAGTAAAAATACTTCATTTGTAGCTGCTTTACAGGAGATATGTACAGTTAACTATTTTGAGATGTTTGAATTCATGTATCTAGTTGCATTTAGATGGGAGCGTCAGAAAGTATTATCTTACATGGGTTTACTTATAGAGGATACTTTAAATTTTGAGGTTGCTTGTGTATTGTGTTGGGGGGCAATAGGTGTGCTAGTGGCATCTAGTCTGCACATTTTTCATTCATATAATTGTGTGGCAGTAAAAAGGTCTACTGTAGTTTTATAGTATTATGGACAGAAAAACAAAAGGTTGGTAGTTTTTCTTCCGTATTGAGCTGTTCTAAAATACTGAATGTATTCTCTTGCATGCTTTAAACATTTTTTTATTGGATTGTCCTTTGTCCGGTCTCTATCCTTTTCTATATGTCCTTTGCTGCATATTAACCTTTTCTTTTTTCTTTTTTTTTTTTTTCGTTTTGCAGATGCAAGTTTGGTCAGCTTGGTCCTGGAAAGGGCCAGTTCAACTCACCCCATGGCTTTTGTTTAGGCATTGATGAGGATATAGTTGTGGCTGACACCAATAACCATCGTGTCCAGGTGTTTCAGAAGGGTGGAGAATTCAAGTACCAATTTGGAATCCCAGGTATTCCGTTTGAAGAATGACCATGAACTTCACTGGCTAACTTTGAGAGAGCTTATTGTGTGTCTAGTGAAGCATGCTTTCTTTTTACTAAACAGAACCAAAATGTTCAAAACCATGTGACAGTTTTTGCAAGGGATTAGGGGACTGTCAAGACAGTAAGTTGTGAATGGCCTCTGAATGAACAATTCTATAGGAATAGGGACAAAACTTATGCATTCTGTAGCGACATCACCCAAACGGAAAGCATTTTCACAGCAGCTCTGTAAGAGAATGTATTTCTCCTTACATCGAATACTAGTGAGGGGTTGTAGGGAATGTTGGGGCCTCTGCAGTAAAATTTTCTTCTCTAATACTTTCTCCAGTGGAATATTACTTAAAAAGTGTGCCAATATGACAGCCTGGTGGAGGAAGGTCTGGGATGTGTAGGTGACCTGCCACCTGTGCATTTGAAACTAGTCATCAGTCAAATCTGTCTTATAAGATGTAGCAGTTGTGTGGGGACCTTGTCCTTGCTGAAATGTCCAGGGCCCTCGTGGACAGTTTTGGAAACCTGCAAGCAGACGCTTAACAATTTTATTTTTCATGGTCAGCTGATTTTGTTAAAATGCAATGATTACACATGCTTCTGTCTTTGACCATGGCTCCTTAACAGTCACCATTCTTTATGTTGATGTAGATCTCTCCCTACCCTCCCCATCCCATACTATATTGCCATTATCATGTTATTGTGCTTCACTTTTCTTCTCTTTACTGTACGTATGGAACAGCTGTTTCGTAGGGAAAGATTTCAACAACACAGTGTTCATATATTTACGGGAAACTTCTCATTCTGCACATGTATTGATGAGTGCTCTGTTGACTGTATGCAGATTGTGAACTACGGGTGAATTTTTGTTTCAGGTCGTGAAGAAGGGCAACTGTGGTATCCACGCAAAGTGGCTGTAATTTTGAAGACAGGAAAGTTTGTCGTCTGCGACCGTGGCAATGAGAGGTCCAGAATGCAAATTTTTAACAGGAATGGGAACTTCTTGCGCAAAATTGCAATCCGCTACATTGACATTGTTGCTGGTCTTGCTATCACACCAGAAGGTAAGGAAAGAACTGTGAATTTTTTTCTTCGTGCAATGTTTGCAAATTTAAGAAAAAAGTATTATGTAGATCAATTGCTCAGGAGATGATAGAAAGGAGCTCTTCATGTATTAATGTGGCGAAGATTTTCAGGATAGAATACAATTTTCAAGCCTTCAGTTATGTCTGTTGGATTGACCAACCAACAAGATTGCGCACACTTATGGCTGGTTCATATGTGTTGGTCTAATTGCATTTTAAAAATTTTTATCATATGAAAGATGCTCTCTTGTATTTTAAGATTGCTGGTTACTTGTTAGTCATCTAACAATACATATGGATTCCTAGTGGATGTATCTACTTACTCTTGGGATAAAAGCTCCCTTTGTCTTTGTCTTGCTTGATGGTTGATAGGAATTATTTTTTTTACTCAAATGGATGACTTTTTGCCAACGCATGTTTTCAATAATGTATACTGTTTTTCTAAACTTAAATGCAGCCTTCATTATTCAGACGAAGACGAAGATTTTTTCATGGAAATTTGCAAGTTTCACTCACGAGTCTGACGCCTTTGTTCCTTTTCAGGTTATATTGTTGCTGTGGACAGTGTGTCACCGACCGTGTTTTGGATCTCGGAAACTGGGGATCTTCTGAAATGGTTTGATTGCAGTGATTTCATGCGGGAACCATCAGATATTGCCATCAACAACTACGAGTATTTTGTTTGTGATTTCAAAGTAAGTTCTGTGTGCTGGGGATTTTTTTAAAGGATTTAGTAGATTTTTTTGGATTGCGTGCCAGAGCTAGAAGTAAGTATTTGTTTGATAGTAGATGAAAGGGATACACTGCTCAAAATGCCACGAATGTCTGTCCGGATAATCAAGTCTGGTTGGATTTGAGTTTCACTCCTATTAACATTATTTTTCCTACCTAATTCTTCACTAATGCTGTATTAATTTAACTGAAAACTGCTGTGGATTTTAGCAACAAAACCATTCTCATGTGATGGCTTAACTCATTGGCTATGTATTATTTTCGGCTTGTGGACGAATTTTTTTCGGGAGGGCGAAATGAGATGATGACTAGTGCGCTGCTCACAGGTCTTGGAGGCCATAAATTCAAATAAATATCAACATATTATATACCAACATTTTCAGTATGGTTTGTAGAATACAAATTGTATTGTTTATTTGAGTTTTTTTCAACTTTGGTTCCTGTAAGAGGCGATTATGCAACACAATTGTGATTGGCAGCGGATAAAATTTGAAAACAAAAAATTAACAATCTCAGATGAAACTCAAAAAATATGTTTGCACCTAGTCAAATTATACATCAAAATAACCATATCTGTATATAGAACAGGAAAATATTGAAAAATGAGCAGTTATTTACATACATTCCATAATATTTGTACATTTGGATCATAACCTCCGATATTGAAAAAAAATAATTTTGAAAAAAGGATCCCAAACAGAAAAAACACTCGTATCTTATATGGAATTATTCAGAATTGCATTTGGAATAAACCTATACATGTCTTGGGTGGTACTTTTTGAGTAAATTCACCAAAAAGTAGTGATTTTGGGGAGAGAAAAAATATTTTGACTATTTAGATCTAGGCCTAGATCTAGCACTCAAAAATATTGATTTCTCAATTACAGTGCACTGGCAATTTGAGTCCAGTAGTATCAATATTATAAAGAAGAGTCCTACATTTCTTTAGTGAGCAAAATAATTATACATTTTGTTGTGTAAAAGTACTAAGACTGGTGTCTGGGCTATAATTTGGGCTTCGCGATAAAACAAAGTTGCATAAACTTTGAAATCGTGTTTCAAAACAATCAAAAATTCCGATTTTCGATGGAAATGCTTGACCCGGAAGTCAACTTTATATTATGACCTTTATTTTAACATGGATATGTGGATTGGAATAGAAACCAAGCTAAAATTGAACGTCGGTTCTCGAGCCGCCGGGCTTAGCGTACTGACGGCACTTTAGCCGCGCCGCCCCCCATGGCTCGGCGTAACGAATGAGTTAAGTAATGTTGCAGTTACCTAGATTTTCAAACTTGATCTCAAGTCTGTTAAACTTTACAGCATTGTCATGGGGGGGGTAAAATTACTACGTTGAGATAATACACAGATGCAACACCTGTAAGGGAAAGCTCAAAGTATGTTAGGTGCAAGAGGTTATATCTTGTTCTTAACTTTGTTGGGTTTGGTTTTTGTCTTTTCCCAGGGCCACTGTGTTGTAGTCTTCTCAAAGGATGGGCAGTTCCTTCGCCGCATTGGTTGTGAGAACATAACCAACTACCCCAATGGAATTGACATCAGTGGTCATGGAGATGTGCTTATTGGTGACAGTCACGGCAACCGCTTCCACGTGGGAGTCTTTCAGAGAGACGGATCCCTCATCAGTGAATTTCAGTGTCCCTACGTGAAGGTCAGTCGTTGCTGTGGACTCAAGATAACTTCTGAAGGATATATTGTCACCTTGGCCAAGAACAACCACCACGTGCTGGTGCTGAACACTCTGTACATCAACTAGAGCTCCCCCAGTGCTGGAGACTGGCCATGTCACGGTAGACGAGTGATGTTCAGCTTTCTCTACTGGTCTGCAACTGGGTTGTAAATAACCTTTTTAGGGGTAAGACGCGTAATGTATGGAGTGTGTACAGGAAGCTTGAAGGAATGTTGTCATGGAGGATTTCCTCACTGTTTTGTCAAAAATTAATTGCCACATCTTGCAGGATATGCTTCACTCAGCACGGACGACGTAAAAATTGAATGTTGGCTTTTTGAAATATGATTTTTGTTTTCTTTTCCTCCCATTAAGCTCAAGATGAAAAATCTCATCTTGTTGCTCCTAAGTTTGATAGAATTAATTTTTGCATCTAATTTTTTTTGTCCTATGTATTATTAGTGGAGCTTGGAAAGAAAGTGTAATTAGTGTTTGCCAGATGAGGAATGATCTTATGAAACATTTTTTTAAAGTTGTTCTAACATTGTTTTGTTAAATGCAGTATTGTTTCAGAATTCACTTTTGTAAATGGATGTGTAAATGTATTGGTTTGTGTGATGGTGGGAAAATGGGGAAATATGTCAGCATGACCGGAGATTTAACTGTAGGTTATTCTATATAAATGTACATATACAATATTTTGTTTATTATTGAATTTAGTGTGGATTATTTGACGAGGAGGTTGAAGTGAGAAAATGTTCCATGTACCATGAGCAATTACACAGGCATTTGTTCATTCATGTGACACCGAGAAATGCTCTCCTTATTGTCTTTTTTTTTCCTCTTGAAAAAAGAAAAAAAATGTGTAACCCTGGTTTAAAGGAAAAATCAATTTTCAGTGCCATTAAATTGATGAAAGGAAACTTCTGTGCCATCGAAATCTAAATGTTGACAAGTTTTGAAAATAGTTGTTTATTTGAAGATTAGGTTTGAAATACCTTTTGCAATCGGATGTACTGATTGCTGTGGCATGGTTGATTATGAACTTAATTGGCCACTGGAAGTTTGAGATTTGAACTCATGTTGGGTCAGGGTTTTCTTTTCCCTCTTTGGATGATTTCCCCTCAGACCGGTGCCCCAATGAGGAGTGAGATACGGCCTTCGAAATTATTTTTGTGTCTATTATGGAGTCAAACAAAAACATCTGAAGGATTGTAGCATTTTTTTCAAGTCTTTTATCCCACAGTGATTGCAATTTCTTTCTTTATGTCATATTGTTTACTATTTTTAAGTATACTTTGTCATAATATTCATATACTTAATTCCCAGTACCCATTTTCCCTGAAAGTTAGATGATTTTTTTTTTTTGAGTTGTTTGTAGAAGACATTGTCTCTATAAATCTGTAATATTTGACAAACGTGCTCAAAGAGTCTTTTTATCTTCAGTGACTGTTGTTATATTGACAACTATTTTTATGTCCTCCATATCTACTCTTACCAATCTCCCACCTCCCCTCTTTTTAACACATCGTTCATCTTCACACAGTATTATTATTGTTGTTGTTTAAAAGAATTATTACAGAATAACAAGCAGTTGTCCTCAGATTGTAAGGATGATAGTCCTTACAGCTGACGGTTCAAAAAGAAGAAGCGTGATATTATTCTCCCTTTATTCGCTTAAAGCTATGCATATTGGGGCGCTTCTTATATTTCTTGTCCCTTGTGCCCAAAGAAATTTTACACTGGAATTTTGGTAGGGGGAAACACATTCCATGTAAAGATCAAAGTACTGTTACATATTTTCCCCATTGTTCTCAGGCCAATATTTTATCATGTGTGTTACTTCCGAAGGGCATAAAGCAAAACAATGTTAAAATTCAGATGATGGAAATAAGCTCTTTTTTAAGTGGTGTAGATCTTTCAGGCAATTTGGTTTTTTAAGTACCAGTACGCATATTTGCCCTTTTTAGGGACGAAAATTTAGCCACTTTTTGGATTATATACACAGGAGCAGTGAAATTTATCATATCATACAACTGATCAGTAAAACCAAGGTGCACACTGTATATGATAATTGTTTATCTTCTGGTGTAGCTTATCAAATTTTCCTGAAATATGTGCCAATACTATATTTGATGTTTTATTATTTTATTGTTTGTGAAGCAGATATACATTCAGACCTTTACAGAGACCTATTTCCTCTGTGAGGGCTCCTGAATATACAAGGGTGTTTCTCTTCTTGCTCTCCCATATTTTAGGAAAATAAATTTAAATCAAGAGGAAAATTCATCGGCGGTTTAAACGATGGATGCCTCTTTAATGTTTCTTTCAGCAAGTTGTTTTTTCTTTTAATATACTTGTTCACTGAAAAAGAACATGTGTGGTTTACTTAATTTTTCATAATGGTCAAAATATATAGACCATTGTGATGATAACATGAAACATTCTGCAATCTCATCAGTAACCAATGCTAATTCCATTTATTCCGTACATACCTCTAAATAGCAGAAGTGAAACAAGATTTACATTTTCCCCCCTCGCTGTTATTTAGGGAGTATGATTATACTTTTGTTTTACATTCATCTAATCTACAGTCTCTGGAGGGAAGGGGTATGATAAAATGGTCTGTCCATAGTCTGTATACATTGATTATGCAAAATGCTTGTGTATCTAATCTAGTCATATATACTCATATCTGGACATGACCTTATAATTTTTCTGTTAATTTTCCCCCTTCCCCTTTAAATCCTTCCCCTTAATACATATATATATCTATATATATATATGACTTTTCTTGTTTTGTTTATTATTTTTTTTATTTATTTATATTTTTTGTTTTTGCCGTGCCTTAAGAAGATTTTTACTTTCTGTTTTCGTGTTCAGTGTTGATGAAGCTTTACAACAGATATTTATATTATATTACGATACAATGGATTCCCACTCCCACACCCACATTTTCCCCCCCTTTCTTTTTCAAGTTTTATATCATCTTTTATTATATTTTAAAATGAATTTGCTTTTAGAAAAATATTCAGGATTGCTCTAGAAGCATTATACACCCTTTTTGTATTGCAGGATCATCTTGCTTTTTGGTGGTCTCCGCTGCGGCCTCTTGGCTTTCAATATCATGCAAGATAGTTTGCTTCGTTTGAAAAGCAATGGGTGTATAATACTTCTTGCCACTATATATTTCATTGACTGCAAGTGGTTTTTTTTGCAGTAACAACTCAAGAAAGTGAAGTTTAGCACCCACCATACTTATACTAAATGCAAACTATTGTTTATTTACTTGTTCAACTAAAAGAATCAAAATGAATCTAAGTAGATCTCAGCCTCAGAAGTAGTGAACATAAAGGTTGGTACGGCTTGCACACAGCACGGGGAAATAAAGCGTCGTGTGTTCTATTGCCCCCCTTTCTCTATCCCAGTTTATGCTGAAATTTATTATTTTTTATTGGTATTCCAGACATCTATTTATCCTGAACCATTTAGAGAAATTTTACTGAATTCAAGCAGAAATAGGGGGAGGAAATATGGCTTCCTTTTGAGCCTATTTTCTTGTCATAACATATATACATATATATATATGTCTCTCGTTTGTTTGCCTTTGTCATTCAGACAATCTAGGTTTCAGACCTGTCACCCGTCGCGGTTGGGTTTATGAGAAATCACTTTCAATAATGGCCTCCATGAAACACATTGCTATTTTATGTGTAAATGCACGTTATTCTATTTTGCTGTTTCATTAAAGCACATTTGACCTCACATGTTCGTAACTTTGCTGTTGAAAGGAATTAATGTTGAGGGTGAAGCGTCTTCACAAAAATAGGGGAAATGAATGAGGGTTTGAGACAATGGGATTTCTCTGGTGGGGCTTTTGGCAATATTTTCCTGTTGAGGTCCTCCAAAATTTTGCTGTAAAAAACAACAAACCCATACCTTTTTTTGTTACCGGTAGTGAATTTTTAAAATTTATTTAAGAAACCACAGTACTTGGAGTTACTACTCTTTCGCTTAAGCTTGTGTAAAAAGAAATTTGAATAAAAAATAAGATTTTTCATTGTCATTGTTATAACAGAAGAAATTTAGTGGTCTACCCATTTTTGGTATGGCTTTGGGGCTTACAATTGATTATTTTTTCCCAACGATTTGTCTCATGACTTAGGATGTCTTGTATATGTGCACATGATTCGCTTTTAACAAAGGGTTTGGTGAATGCAACTCCATATATGGCCCTTTAGAAAGAAAAGATAAGGAGATGGGATAAAGGTTGTACAGTATGATTGTGGAGTCTGTCCATATTCAATTGACATCAGCATTGTCACAGGCATTTATCAACTGTTTTTTAAAAAAAAAGAATGAGAGAGGGGTGATTTATTACTAAGTAGACTTTTGGCAGAAGAAAAGCAAAAGTAAGCAACTATAATTCTCAACCTCTAATATTTGAGGTGATTCAAATACTTGGAATGTACTAGCACACTGCTTATGTCTGTTGTCAAGCATTAAAATGTATATCTGATGAAAAGGGGGCAGCCCCGCGCCCCAAAGCTTGAAGGGTCATTAATTTTTTTCATATTGTTAGTAAGGCTGTCAACATGACAGAAGTTATGGTGGCCAGACCTGTTTGGTAAACTTAAAAGTTGTTATCTTTGTGCTTCCACACGATGACTGTCCCCATACACTAACTGTGCTTTGGTCAAAGATACGTTGGGTGGTCCAAGGGTGGCAGGTCTGAGACTGCCCTTGCGTTAGATATTTATTTTCCTCCCTAGCAATTACAACGAGTTTTCATCACATGCTTGTTACTTTATGATTACTTGTGATTCTTAGTGTTCATGTTTTCTATTCCATCTGGATTATTTATATTATATATAACATTTTATTCACTCATAATATGGTACTGATTATGTTGAATGTTTGCTCCATGCTGAGATTTGTTTCTTAAGGGAAAGAAATTCAACTTGTCATATTTACCGTATTATTTATTTGTAAATAGTCTCAGAGTATATCATGATGATCATCGACTTTCTTTTCTTTGTTTGTATTTGGAATATTAGATTTGACCTTGCGAAGCTGGACAAAGCTTAGCTTTGACAAATAACATCAGCCTCTGGAGTAGCAAAGGAAAACAGACCCTCACACTTTCAGTTACTCTCCTATCGTCAAGGAAGGAATTTTTGCTTTTGTTGATAGCTCTAGTCTGGCCATGAGATTTCTATTGTTTGTTGTTGCTTTCTTAAAACTTTTCTTAAAGCCCTGGAAAACATAGAACAACTCTAAAGAATTTTCGGACTGAAAGGGCTCGTTCTCATGGAGATTGACTAGTGAATTGGCAGCCCGCACACTCTGTGTGTAAGTTTTCACCCTCTTTGCAGTATATGTTTTAGTTTTAGAAAACTATGTTGTTTTCAATAAATACGAGCTATTTTCTGTTTTATCTTTGGTTTCCCTTTTGGTCCAAGTTATATAAACCAGGGAAGTTATCCAAATGGTTTTTACATTTAGCATATGATTTTACATACGGTGCTGTATATTTTATTTCATGTTTCTTGTTTCGTTCAGCCAATCCAACCCGCCACATTTGCATTATGTGGTAATGGCTTGGCTTTGACCTAATATCTCATTCTCTCCCAAAAATTGGGGCAAGTGAAGAACAAATGTAAATCTGTCTGGATATTTATTTAATCCCTTAGATGCCTTGAAATTCCGTAATGAATGTATTACAAAACTAAAGTGTTTAAAACAATAGCTTGTAGTATTACTAGTATGTTGCTTTTGTTGAATATTTTAGATTGCAGTGTTTGGGAAAGTTTGTAAACAAGGACAAGTTACTGAGCATTATGTGCAAAAGTAGCTTGTCTTTTGTTGGACGGTATTATTAGAAAGTGACCAGCAGTTATACACTCTTTTCTCCACTGAATGTTTAGAATTGCCTTCTGTTTGGAGCCTTCCAGAATGCATTTCTGTACCACACACGCCTATCATGCTTCTATTTTACAGACTGTTTAGGGCAAAGAATGTCCCAACTTTCAAAAAGATTTTTTCTCCGAGGGAAGATCATATATTACGAACAAATTTTGTGATTTTGAGGAACTTCTATACACTAATTTGATTGGGACTGGTGTTCTAAACATTTACTCGCCAAAACACCAAAGTCTTTGTGTTGTTTCGCACACGGTTGACTCCATTTTGGGTGCGACATCAAAAAAAGAAGAAAAAAGTTCACAGCCCTGGTATTTGTGTGCTTTATTCTCTCTATGTGTGATTGAAAATGGCTGCTGATATATTCTTTTCTGTCCCTCTGCTGTTCCTATATCTAGCTTTTTACTAATAACTAAAACTACCTTGCAAGTTTGCTCTTTCAAGTCATTATCTCAAATGTCTTTTCTCTTTTCTTCCAGTCCATCCAATGTCCCTAATGTTGATGACTTGTTCAATTAGTCTTACACAAAACTTGTTTACCTGCAGTAATTCCATGAGCTGGTTTTGGGCATACATAGGGATTTACAACTGGAGATTTTATGTTACTATATACCCACTTGAAAGGTGGGGGCGGAGATGTCTGAATTCCTCGCTCCCTGCCTTATCACTCTTTATCTTTAGAATTATCCCATCAATTTTAGTTTTTCTATTTAAATGTTCCATTTTTCTGACACGTTGCTGATTGTCATGTTTATTTATTTTTTTTCTTTTGTCAAGTTATTTTTCCCCATTCCTTTAACTGGATTTCACACTCATGAAGAAAAAAATTGAAGAAAAAAAAAGAAAAAAAAATACACAAAAAACAAAAAAAATGTCTGTAAAAAAAATTGCAATTATTTACAAGACGTTTATGCTTTCAGTTTAATTGATTTTTTTTTTTTTAAAGAAAACAAATCTTTGTTGTTGTTCCAATTTGGTTCTAATCTTTAAATTTCCTGTTCTGTTTTGCATTTTTGTTGGGTTTGATTTTAATATGGAATATATCTGTGAATGAATTTTTTTTTATTCACTCACAGATTTAGTTTGTTTACCCTCTGCTTAATCTCTTGTAGTAAATTATGCAAATGTTGTGCAGGGTTGTAGGTTTTGTGGACCATGACTTTATCATAGTCCTCACCTGGTGACACATCGGTTGGCATTTATATCTTTGAATGTTGTAACCCTTTAAGAGATTGAAAGAATGCTTGAGTCTGTGGTTCCTTTGTATTTTAAAATTGTATTTGTGATGTTGTTTTCTTTTGCCAGAAGGACATGTAAACCAAGGAGTGGAAGATGATGGTGAACGCATAAAAATTTAATTTTGATTTTTTAAACTGGGAGAGTACTCGGTTTGCGAATACTGTACAATTGAAATATATATTAAAATACAGTAGTGTGCAGATGTATTGTAAGAAAGAGGAATTGGACTACAAATTAATCTTACAATAATTAATGTCACACATACACACAGAATCAACCCTATAGTATCAACAAAAATTCTCACTCGACTTGACCAAAGTAAACCGTTAGGTTTTTCCATTGTTAAAAAACTTGTGTAGTAATAAGGTGAAATTTCTGTTTAAATGTTTGTATTTGGTTGAACAGGTGTTTTGAGATTGTTTCCTCCAAGTGGACAGATTTACATGGAAACAGAACCAAACTTCCCAGTGCGGGAGTGGAGTTCCCTGTTGAAACTTTGGCCTATCAATGAATGACAACAACAGAAAATTTCTAATGCCAAACTTGGTTTATGAGTGTTCTGCTGGACATTTTTGTTGTAGTTCGTCTTAAGTGCGGGCAAATACTGTTTCCTCTTGATAGCCTAGCCTTTCATTGTCAGTCCCAATGATTGTTTGGGTGTTTTTATCCTTAAGGATGTTTGCCATCATTTGATGGGTTTGTTAATTTTTTTTCTGTCTCTTCAAACAATACGATTCTCAGAAATAATCATTTATCACTGATGAAAAATTTGTACCTAAAATGCATTTGAATGGGGGTTTCTTTCTTCTTCTTTTCTTTTTTTTTTTTTACAACAGCTGTAAAAACAGTAGAATTTTATTTTCAGTTTTTTATTTTGTTCTGATTGATGTGAAGGATTAAGTCGGTGCATGTAGGGGTCCTTTTGAGTTTTATGTCCTTGTGAAAAATAATCAGACAAAGCATACTGCATGTATCCTATTTTGAAGTGCTTTTTTTTCCTCATTGTCTGACCATCCTTGTGTTGTGCTTTTGACGACACATATGTATGTATAGAGTTTATAGAAGACAATTCTCCCTCCCAAGTCTTGGTGGTTCATAATTCTGACCACTCTTCTGGTCTTTTTGGAAAGTTGCTCACGGTAACCGCTTCCTTCAGGGAGAAAATGCGCTGGGGCGGTGGGAAAAAGTAGTGTGTTAAGTTGTTGCTGTCTATAGTGGTTGATTTGTGTGTCAACAAATGGCTACTCCTATTTTTGTTTGATGTTTCCAGTGACAGAGCTTGAGGGCTGACACTGAGTTTCCATTTCCCTTTTCATCTGATGTTCAGTATTATGTTAACTACATCTTTCATTTTACATTTCATACTGTCTGATGCATATATTACTCCATTTCTTATTATTGGACCAGAAAACCCCCACCCAAATCCCTTTTTAAAAAGTTCTTGAAGTCTAATCAGATTTTGCTTTTACACTGCTTTCAAAAAATGAACAAGGAATTGTGATGTGGTGAATGGGTGTTGATGGCTTGAGTTGCATTTGACTACAAGTGCAAGACGATTGCAGTGACTGTAAGATATAATCAAATAATTATTAGTTATTACTGTAGGTCTAATATCTTCAAGAGTAACCACGTGTATAGAGAAAAAAGGGACGTGTTTTCAAAAGTTTTGTTTAAAATTTTTTCTTGTTAGGCATACTGTTTTGTTATCCCAGTTTGTTTGTGAATTCTCTGACAATTTGACTTTGAATACACGTGCAACCTCAGAAAAGTGTATGTGTACTGCAGTCTCACTTTGGTGAACATTTTTATTTTGGTGAGAGGATTTAACTTGTTGCAGTTTCTCTCTCTCTCTCTTACCCCACATTATATTGCCTTGTTTTTGTTGCTCGTTGTAGGGCCTCTGAGTGACGAGTATTGTTCATGAACAGTAGTTAATGACCATATCCACTTATATATATTATTATAGTCTTAAGTTTTATTCTAGTTTGGTTTATTTTATTATAGCTCTTTTGACAGTTCTGCAGTTCAGAAGTAAAAGAAAAAAACAAGCATACAAGAGAACACAACTAGGGCAGATTTGCTATTGCAATCTATTAAGAGTGCCCGGAGTTTGTTAGCAAATGTTTTGAATTTCCCCTCCCGTTCCATCATTTATTCCAGACACGAACTTGTACTCCTTTGTTATAACTTTTACATTTATTAAAGACAGATCTCATTCATTCCTTTATTGTATTTCAGTAATTAATTATAGTCAAATAGTTTCCTGGCTTTCACCCATATCCCAGTTTGGTTTATTCAATAGTAAGTTTTAATTACCGTATTATTATTTTTCCTCCCACCCCACGTTCAAGTTGTACTCATATTGCAATTTAAGATTTACAGTATGTGATATTATATTGTGCTTTTGGTAAAAAGGTGAGAAGCTCTTTTTATTGTACGTTTATTTTTTTTTATGAGCACATAGGGCTTTTGATTTGCTTTTTCTTTCTCTTGTATATGTATCACCACTTTGGTGAGGAGAGGAAGAAAATTGCATACATTTTGACCCATTGCTGAGTCTTAAGCTTAACCGATTTAGTTATATTGTTTAGGGGGGTTGTTTTTGTTTATATTTTACCTCGAATGTTGCAGCCATAATGAAAAGCTATCAGTCCATAATGAACATCAGGGTGAAATTGTTCAGGAGTCTCCAGACAAAAGATTTTGGACAAATCTTTCCCATGTACAGTATAGAGACTTCCCTCCTTGCTAAATTTGTCTGGTCTGCCATTTGCTTCGTGGGAAATCACTGGAAATGCAACAGCTAATTTCTTAAACAAAAGAATTGCGGCCATACTTTTTCCTGACCTTTCGAATGCTGGATGCCAACGGTAGACCAATCTATGTTGGGGGAAAAGACTATGTAGGTCTGCTTGTCCAAGCTTTTGGAAAGGTGCCTTTCAGTAGATATGGTGTCCAAAGTTCTCTCCAGGCCGAGATTACTTTTTGGCAATGGAGAGAAGGGGGAAAAAAAACGCTGAAAAGAATATCAGAAAGCAGATGATAGGGCTCCAGTTGAGTTTTCTCTCTGGTTGTTGCTTTATAGATTGGAGGGAAGTCGATAAATAATTATATTTACAAAAGCAATATATGAAATTTATTTACTGTACATTTTGCTCAAATATTTCTTCCTTTTCTTCTATTCTCTCAAGATTTTAATGGAGAACATTTGTACAAATCCTGTACTTAGTGTATACATTAGGCTGATTGTCCATACAAGTATTGCTATACTATCAGTCATATGCATTACGATAATCAAAGGCTACTAACTATGCTTGACTATTTAGTCATTATATGCTAATCAGGTTGCTATGATATCCGGTGACAGTGGCTTTGTGCTTTTTGTTTAGTTGGTTTTTCCCCCCCTGTCAATGCCAACCCATGTGTCCCACCTTCACCCTCTGCTTGTATATTTGACAGAGTCCTGTCTCCTTACTTTTGTGGGTTTTTTAGAAAAAATGTAAATATTCCACCTGTGACATCCCACTTTTAGTGGTGTCTTTGAGATTGTAGTGCTGGTTAAGCTGATATACTGTGTACTGTACCTGAACAAAAAGTTCGGTCATATTAGTCATGGTTTTCTGTATCTGTAACAGATAGCAAAATTGGATAGACCTGATTGAACCACGGTTTCTTTGGGAGGGGCGGGGGGTGTAATGAGATACATCTGCAGAGTGGATTGTGATTATCTTGTTTCTTTACTCTTTTTACATTTCCTCCATTTGAATTTCAAGTGTATCACACCCAGCATTATTCTTCCAATAATTGCTGCATAGAGATAGGCCAGAGGGGCACTATACACGAGTATTCATATATTATATTATATTATATTCCTATTTTTTGGAAAATACATCGGCCATTTCTTAAAATGTATGTTTATGTTAAGATGTATGCAAAAAAATGGAATAAAGGTGTTCTTTCAATCGATTTCCTTCTTTTGGTCTTTTGATATTTTCTGTGTGTTGACTTTACAAATGAGCTCATAGGTCCACATGCATGGAATACTAAGTTAACATGGGTTACATATTTGAGCTTGAAATCTGCAATAGTTACATGTAGTTGTGAGTTTCAAATGATTTTGAAACTAAAGGCACACATCACCAGTGGCTTCGATTTAGTAAAGTGGAAGAGGTTTTGACTCGAGGAGAGTGCAGAACGCCCACCAGTAGATTCCTTGAATGGTCTTATTTAATTGCGTCTGGATTACATCGCCATATCTGAACCCCCTTCTTCAGATTGCGTTGTCGATTGTAAAAATGTCTTTCAGCACTGGTGGTGTCAGTAATCCAGTGGTTGGGACTACCAGACTCATAGTCGTTAGATTTCAGGTTTGGAGGTTTGGCGTTTAACTTAACTTTGTACGACACTGTGTCCTTGGGACAGGCACTGGGTGTGAATTTCCCATTTGGCTTGGTCCTATTACAGTACATGTGTTTAATAATTTATAGATGGATGTTATCAGGAGGTCCTGCCTCTAAAATAATCTTCGGGTTGCAAGAGGTGTTAAACCGAATATAATTTAAATAATGACGGTACCTATTCAGTATACTATACGATCTTTTCAGCACGAAATGACCGTTCTACCATGTTAATG